TCAGGTAGGTGTAAAAAATGACACGCAGTGTCGCATTTTGTATTTTTATCTCCGCGCCCGCTACGTGAGCGTTTAAAGGGTGTTTGTTTTTATAAGAAGGAAACAATGTTAAAAATACACAAATTTCCCCCTCTGCACCACGTGGGCGTCGGGGTACTTATATGAAAATAAATAACACATTTTTTTATCCTTTCGCCGCAAGCGTCGCACCGGTTCCCACCCTAAACGCTACTTGAGCGCCTCGGGGTTTGCCGGCTCGTTGCAAGCTTTGAAGGGATTCTTTAAATCGTCGCGAGCATCGCACCGGTTTCCACCCTAAACGTTACGTGAGCGCCTCGGGGTTTGCCGGCTCGTTGCAAGCATGAGAAAGAACCTTTTTTATTTTTATTATTTAGATTAATTATAATAAGAATTAATTATTATTAATGATAATAATTACAATTAATAAAGATTTAATTATATACCATTATATTAATAATTATAAATACCTTATAATAATAATTATAATTGAAATTAATTAATTATGATTAAAATTATTAATTAACATAATTATAGTTAATTAACATAAGTATATTAGAATTAATATAACTAATATAAAAATCTAACTATTTAAAACTAATTATAATTATTTTATTAAATTTAAATTAAAAATAATAATTATAGTAATAAATAAAATAAACATAAAATATTACTAGAACTCAAATCGGGTAGGGGTGAGTGAGTGAGTTGGCTGATTGAGCTGGTGGATGAGTCAGTGAGTGAGCTGAAGCTAGTGGTAGTCTTAGGTTTAAGTGGGCTGAGTTGCTGAGTTGACTGAGTCGGGGCGAGTTGAACTGAGTTAGGGCTGAGTGGCTTATTTGAGTGAGGATAAGAGGGCTCGGTAGGTTGGATCGGCAAGCAGAGGATCGGGCAAGGAGGCTTCGGCATGGAGGCGGAGGAGCTAGGTGGAGGTAAGTTCGGGCCTCTCTCTCTCTCTCTCTCTCTCTCTCTTTCTCTCTCTCTCTCTCTCTCTCTCTCTCTCACGGCTTGGGATCGGCACAGAGGGTCGGTGAGGAGAAGAGGCCGACGGTGGGGCTTCGCAGTTACGACTTGGAGTCGAGAGGAGGCGTCGGCTCTGGAGAGATCGGGAGAAGTAGCTTGGCTGCGGCTTGGGGAAGGAGGAGAGAGATGCTCTGTGCGTGGGGAGTGTCGTGGGAGGAGAATACGGGAGAAGAGCAATCCCGAAGGCTTCCACGGGCTTGGTATTTAACGACGCGCATGAGGTCCGATCGAGGCGACGTCGCAGGATTCCTGGGAATCGATGTGAGCGGCGCCGAAGGAGCAGTACCTCGGCGGGATTTCGGGCAGCATATCGGGCAGATTTCGTGGATCCCATGGACAATGTAAGACTTTGAGTCTCTTCTTTTTATTTGGTATGACATGGAGGTCAACAATCATTGAGCACTTCTACCAAATCATTCAAGCTGTTTGGAGGAGGTGAGGTTTTCGAAGTGGATTCTCCATGGGGTCAAATAGGAAATGAATTAATATAATGAGAGGTTGCTTCAAGATTCAAGATAGGTTCAAATGAAATTTTAGGTCATCAATTCGGGCATAAATTTCATCTAATTTACCCATTACTCGGTTAAATTTAGCTCAAGATTTTTATTTTTAATTTTACTCCTGGCCATCTAATTTTTACATTGACTATCCTATGCTCATTTTGTTCCATGCATTTAGATGATCTTTGATATTCTTAGCTTAATGAGCACTAAGTGATATTATGAAACAAAAGTGGGCACAGTTGTCATGTACATTGAATAATTAATTTATTTGTTATTTGTTTTAAACTTATTTGTATACAATGCTTTATATATAAAGAAATAAATTCAACATATAGTAGATAAAGAAATTGTTCAATTAGGCCAAGAATAGTTCATCCATTAATTATATATAATCAAGAAGTTTGATCTATTCTTGAAAATAAATATGCTCACTAATTCACACACTCGATTTGATATCAAGTTATTCTAAGATGAAGTCTTTTAAGAAAATGAATGATGAGTGATACTAGACTTATAATGATGGCTTATTGTAGAGCAACAATTAAAATTGGAACTTGTTGTAGCATCTTTAGTAAAGAGTATGTATTATCACAAAATATGGTAAAAAAATTATTTTTGATGCATTGTCTTTAGGAAAAGGTACAATAGATCTTCAAAGGAATATTAGCAATATGAATGAAAGACTTTATCTTTATATTTGTTCTTTTTTTTCTCATTTTGTTTTTCACAAATTGGAGTCTCAGTAATACCGGGTTAAGACGTGATAATAATGTTTATCAAAATCAATTTGGATTCATGCCAGGTAGGTCTACATATGATATTTATTGATTTAGAGAAAACATATGATAAGCTTCAAGAGAAGTGCTATGGAGAGTTCTTGAAAAGAAAGAGGTTAATAATGCTTATATTCAAGTCATTAAGGATATGTATGCAGGAGCTGTTACTTGTGTTCAAACACAAGGTGGTTTGACAAGTATTTTTCTTTTTTTCAGTTGGGTTACATCAATGATCAGCCTTAAGCACATATCTTTTTGCTTTAGTCATGGATGTTTGATAGGAAACACTTAAAGATTTCAAGTAAATCCTATCAAGAGAGCAAAAACAGCGAGAAAATCTGATGGAACTTCAAGAAAACACAAAATTTATTGCAAGAATAGAACTCACGGAATAAGGAAAACATGATACAAGTGATTCTCAATTCGAGAGGAGGATCGATCTCTCCTAAATCTCTTGACGTCGCTAGAGACCAAAGAAAACCTAAGGGATCTCAAATTTTAGTCAAATTCAAGATGCCCTAACACTAGGAAAACAAACTATTTAATGCATACAAATCAAAATGAAACCCCTAAACAATCCCTCCATTCAAATTTCCCACCTACTTCTCTCAAAAACCTTCCTAATATGCTCTAGGGGAGAAGGGCGTGCGTTCGATGAGTACAGGAGAAGCGGAAGTTCCGCCTCTATTCTGGCTTGGCCGGTCCCGTAAGGATCGGATTCACCGGTCCATTGGATTGGTCTAACAATGCTCTTACTAGACTTTTGTGAGAGGACGTACCTTGGTGTATGCTTTTTGCTGATGATATTCTTCTTGTTGATGAGACTAGAGAGGGAGTTGAAGGTAAATTTGAATTATGGAGGACAACCTTAAAGTCTTTAGATTTTATTTGAGCAGATCTAAAACCAAATACATGGAGTGTAATTTTAGCAGTAATAGATCTAGTAGGGGATTGTGATTTTGGGCGATCAATTCATTTATAGGAGTACACATTTTAGATATCTTGGGTCTATTGTTCAGATTGATGGTGAAATAGACGGGGATATTATTAGTAGAAATCAAGTTGGATGGTTGATATGGAGGAATGCTTCGGGTTTGTTGTGTAATAGAGAAGTACCCCTCAAACTTAAGGGAAAATTCTATAAGATGGTGGTGAGACCTACAATGCTTTATGACGCAGAATGTTGGCCATTAAAAGAGAAGCATAATATTAAGTTAAGTGTTGCATAGATGAGGATGCTCTGGTGGATGAGTGGCTTTACTCTTAGAGACGTGATACAAAAGGAGCATATACGTGAAAAGGTTAGTGTAGCTCCAGTAGTAGATAAGATTAGAGAGTCACCTTAGATGATTTAGTCATATGAAACAGAGGCCTTTCGATGACCCGGTTAGGAGAGTAGATGTATTAGATTTGGCTCATGTTAATGAAGGTAGTGTAGGCCTAAAAAGACTTGGTTAGAAAATATTAAAAGTGATATTTCTTTATTAAATTTAAATGTGAATTTGACTCTTAATAAGACGCAATGGAGAAAAATGATTTATGTAGTCAACCCGGCGTAGTGGGGTAAGGGCTTGTTTTTGTTGTTGTTGAGTCTCAGTAATACTGCAATTTCCATGGGAAATAAGAAAGGCTCAATATGCACATGTTTAGCAACGAAATTATTTAGTGTTTTTAATCTCTCTGTTAGAGAAAATGAATTAGTTTGGAAGAGGGAGCCCTTGCTCTTGGAATTTCTCTCAATTCCTGTCTTGGCTTAGTGTCTTCGATTGCAAATATTGGTTTGTTGGATGTCTATATTCCCCATTCGTCCATCTGTGGTATCTTTAGATATGGCTGTTGGGTGTAATAATACTATGGGAAAAGTTGTATGTCAGCCTCTCTCAGTTGCTCCTGACTCTCCTCCCTGTGATGTTACAATTATGTTTCCCAATACTTGTGTTTGTTCTAATGTGGAGATTTTGATGGTTAAAGCTCGGCCAATTCGTAAGATAGTATCATAACTTTATCTAGTTTAGTGGATAAAATGTTACTACTTGTGTTTCTCGATAATGCACAAATCTAAAAAAACTTTCTTCGTTCACCCAGATTTACTAAATTTCATGCTAGATGTAATAACTCTTCTGATTACTTTGACATTCTGGACTTACAAGTGGCTAAATGTGAGCCTGCTTCTCTCCTTTGGATGGCTATTACCTGCTCAGCTTTAAAGTTATTTTGATTCATTATATTTTATTTCTGAGCATTTTTTTGTTTGTAGTTCTTTGTAACTTTTAGTTTCATGTAACACTTTCATTTACTAGTAATAAAAATTTATTGCTTTTATAAAAAAATCGTATTATATTTAAAGTAGTTAAAAATTAGTTCAAGTTGGCCATAAATGGTAATGGAACTAGAAAAAAACATTAAAAGCAGTTAGATTTAGCTCATTTATTGTATAGTTTGACTCATTGTGGTTTGCACATCGTGATTTGTCCCTGTATGAGCTGAATTGGCTGAATAATCAAATGATACTGAAAGTATTGCATCTCTTTCACGTATACGTGTGTTTAGAATCATAATTAATTCCTTTCTCTTGCTGCACTTTGTAAATCTTTCTTTTGGTTAGATGCTTTGCAAATATAAAGTGCAAGGTCCAAATTTAATTTTCTGTTTTTATATAACATTTTTATCATTTATACAGACAGACTGCATTGCTAGAATTTCACCTGACAGTGGTTCAGTTCTTAGTTGGATTCTTCTCCATGAATTGAGGTATGCCATAAAAGTATATATTTTTTCGTTCCTATCCTTGATTAAAGCACAACATCTTAAACTTAGGGCTCTTAGTGAAAAAGCTAATACTTTTTTCAAAATTTTCACAGGCAAAACTTATTAAAATTGGGGCACACGGTGAGCTAATTTTCATGTGCTCGCAATTTTTGACTTACTATCAACACTCCTACTTTTTTTGTTACATAAAACTAGATCTTTTGCTTCGAAAGGTATTAGTTCATATATTGTGACTTATTATTGTGATAGTCCATTGAAGAATATCTTGCTTCTTCATTATGCTCTTCGTTTTCTTTTGTTGAACTTTTCACTTCATTTCTAGGACTAACCTAAATTTCAAAAGGTAAATGTGCTAACTGTATTGTCTATGGTTTCTGTTAATGACATGAAAGCTTTCCAAAGAGGCATTTCTTGTGATGAAGGGGAAAAAAAAAAGAATAACCATTGAAAAGGAAGGATAATGAAGGTTATTATCATATCAAGACAGCGGAATTGATTCATTTTAATATAGAAGCAATCTTTTGAGCTTGTTCTCCTAACCAAAATCACTAAGATCTCATACGTAATTTTATTGCATCAATCTGCATTGTGCATTGACCTCATAACCTTTTTTTTGTTTCCAATCATAGTCCTTCAGTTATGACTTATGTGATAGGAAGCGCTCATAGAAATCCGCTATTCCTTGGCTGAAATTTAATTTCAGCAGCCCAAACATAATCCCCAAAAAGAATTCCTAAAACTTTTTTAATTGATGATATAAGGAGGAAAATAAATAAGATACAATAGATCTTCAATTGGAGAGAAAGATCCGGCTCTCTGAAATCTCTGGCTGCCGGCCAATCTAATTTCAACAAATAACACATACCAACAAACCCCAGGTTTAACAAAACTACCTAAAGCATACAATATTCAACAAATACTCCCAATTTGAAATTCCCTCCTCGTTGTCCCCTCTCCCCAGTTGAAATTGACCCTGGGCCCCACCCTAAGGGACATGCGATCGGTTTCGTGCAAAAGCCTTTCGCATCTCGAAGCTCATTCTGCCTTCTGCCTCATGTACTCTAGCCGGTCCAAGAGGGATCATGGTTCACACACCTTGCTTAGCTTCGAGTCTTCTGGTTTGTTCGTCGTTCTACCCACACACCCAACGATTTGAATTTGTACATCTCAATTATGACCACTTCCTAATCGGTCACATTACCATCGCTTTGCTTAGTTGCGTGTCACTTTGTGATCACAATCTTCGCTTGATCGTGTGGGCCTCATCATGATCATGATCTTCACTTGATTGTGTGTGTCTTGTAGCTATCACGATCTTCGTTCGATTGTGTGTCTTGATGCCCAACATGTCATTCCGTTTGTGAGCCTATATATAGTTTATGATATATACACTTTAGGATAGATAACCTAGATATAGATTCTACTCATACATAGGCATATTCTTCATTTACTCAGTTTAGGATGTGTCCCTCTACTCTTAATTTGGAATGGTGCAATTTACACCTTCACACACGATTAGGTTGCTGTCGTTTCTACGATATTGAGAAGATGGTTGGGTTTTTTTGGTCACACGCAACCAAGTTGTAAGTCTCATTTTTAACATCTTTTTTACCACGCTGAGAAGTTGTCTAGCTTTCTTGATGCTACATAATCAAGCTATGACTCCGATTATTCCCATTCTCTTTATCTTTTTCCATTATTCTGTGTTGTTTCCTATCCTTAGCATCTCCTCAATCACAATGGGGGATCACGGTTTCCAACACATCTTTGATGTCCTATCTACCATATTGAAAAGACATATAGGCTTTCTCGTGTGGACTAGATTTTAAGTCCCATTTCAACATCTACTCTACTCATCTTCAATCATTGCTCTCTACATATTATGTTCTTTAGGAAATAGGTAGGCAGACATGGGAGATCTAAGTTGTTTTTATTAGTTGACCATTCCTAGAAGAAAATATGATTTACTATCATTACATCAATCATATAGATTGCAAAATCCTCCGAGAAAAAGAAAGAAGACGACCTTATTGAGAACCAACGCATCATTAGTGACAGATTGACGTCTCCTCAAATAGTTTCTCTGATTCTCAGAGAATTTGGTGCATTCACAATCTCTCTATGCTTCAATTCTTTATTTATCAATTGCTATAAATCTGATGATTCTTAGTCATGAAATAATGAGGCGAAGGAGTTGTGGGTGTCTCATTTGATCCGGAATTAGATGCGGATCCCAGTCAGTGGGTGCACGTGCTCCCATGCGTTTAGAGACCGAAAGAGCCGCTAAAACCTCAAAGCTACTGCTGGCATTTATGACATTCTTTTTATCACCTAATTGCATTCACATTGAACCTCACTTCATCTTTATAAATTTATTTGAAACGTCCATAAACTTGAATGTTGATTTTCTTACTGATCATTGATTGGAATTTCTGTTGATTCCAGGGCATTGATGTTCTCAATGGAATTGCTTGGGATGAGAAAAATAAGCGCCTCTTTGGTTAGTTCCACTATAATGTATACAGTGTAAAGCGTTTCTTCTTTTCCTATAAAAGCTGCTGTTGATTGTTTTATATAAATATTCAGTGACAGGGAAGTTGTGGCCAAAGCTCTATGAGATCCGGCTGCGCCCTGTAACTCCACCATTTAATGGTAATATAAAAAAAATCTGTCCGATTAGGGGCTCAGGTGAAGAAGATTCAACTTAACAGGTGCGGATTCCCTTCACTTTTGAGTAATTACTTCAAAACATGATATGTATTGATTTCTATTTTTGTGTAATAAACGATCAAAGCTTAAATAGAAAAAATCTTTTTAAAAGCCCTATAATTCACTAAATTTTATGATTGATTGAATTAAAGTAGATATTATATTACGGAAATTTTACTTTATATGCCTTATGATACACACATAAATGGAAAAATATCTCGATTTCTTGTTTTCCTTAGGAATATGCTTGAAAGTCCATTTTGGATAGAGCCACTCTTCTTGTATTTGTGGACTACTTATTTAAGTCCGTCACTAAAAAAAGAAAAAGGTTTGAACTAGTTCAAATTTGAACCTTAGTTTAAAACTTAATTTTAATTTTGTTTGAATGTGATTCAAATTTGTCAAACTCTGTTGTTGATCTTGCTTTTCACTAAACTCGGGTCAAGGGGGGTTGACTTGGTCAAATTGACCAAGCCAGACCCTAAGACCCCTCCCATTGGGTTCAGTGGGTCAAACCAAGTTTGTTGAGCCTAGACCCAAGTCCTGAGTCAACTTGATTGACCAAGTCAACCTATGTTGACTAAACTAGCCCAAATCATCCTTATTTGAATTTCAATCAATTTCAAATCCCCTTTAACTCAATTCTTAATCAATTTGGATTTGATTGACCATGTTGACCTAGTCAACACTTGGTTTGGTCAACCCAACCTTGATTTGGTCAAATTTGACCTATTTAGGTCAAATACATGACCTATATGGCATTTAAAGCCCCCCCCAAGCCTCCCCTTTACCCAAAGCACGACCAAGGAGGCTTAGATCCCTCCTAATTATCCCTAGAAGCCATCCTAGCCATCCATCCTAGGGCTAAGACTATAAATAGGGGTCTAAGGCTTCATAAGGGGGGGGGGGGGGGGGGGGGGGGGGGGGGGGGGTGGGACTTCTTTTTGGATCTTGTTTTTATTTTTGCCATAGTCCTCCTGAAGCCCGAGCCTTGGTTCCATTGAGCTCCCCTAGTTTACCTCCACCTCTCCCAAGCCAAACTCGTCGTCAAAGCCTCGCCGGTGGCAAGATCTTCGGCGAACCGAGCCCTAACTCCTTCCAAGTGGATTTGTTGTCGATCTAGATTTTTTAAGATCGCAGTTTCTTCTAAAAATAGGAGCGTTGACAGTCTACAAGTGCAACAACCCCAAGATCTCCCGAATCCAACGTTTGGATTAGGAATCTCAACCCTAGTCTATGACACATAGGGTTAAATAGTTTTTCATAAAGTGCGTTTTAGACCGTGATAATCGTCCCCCATGAATGCTCTTCATGTATAGAACGTATGTTTAAAGTTTCGTTTGATTTGATCGAGCCGATCGAGAGAACGAGATGTTTTCTTAGATTAGGGTTCGGTTTACATAGCCTTAGCGTTACGTAAGATCGGGACCGTTGATCGCACGATCAACGGTTCGGATTTTTCTGTTCCGCGACATTTGTTTGACTGCGGATCTGATCCAGCGGTTAGTTGTTATGTTCGGCTCGATCCGAGCTGTTGCTTCGTCTTTGCGGAAGATTAGACGGTAAAGGATTCTCGCTGACGTGTTTAAGTGAGTCCACCGCCGTTGCAATCATTGCCGGGCGGCACAATCATTGCCAATGATTGGCCGAGGTTTGAAACGACCAATAAGAGGCCGCCACGTGCTTTTCCCAACGCCGAAGCCGATAAAATTTTTTTAAAATTATTTTTAATATTTTTTTTAAATATAGATTTCTTTAAATAATTATTTTAAATACAAAATATATAATATAACAAAATTTTTAGAATTTAATAACCTTTAATTTAAAATTAAAATGACTTTAAAATATATTATATATTTTAAATTATTTTTAAAACCTTATTTTTTAATATGTTAATTTAATATGTAATTAAAATATTCCAAAAATTGAAAATTCGTATTAAATATTTTAAAATAATAAATAACTATTTTTAAAATATATTAATTAAAAAATAAATTTAATTTAAGATATTTTTATAGTTTAAATTACTTTTTTAATAATTATATTTTTAAATATTAATTAATATTTAAATTAAATTCAAATTAATTTTTTTAAGTAAAAATTATTTTTAAATATTTAAAATTTCAGAAACCTTTTATGATTTAATTTAATAATTATTTAAATACGTTTTTAATTACCTTAAGCTTAAAAAATTCATATTAAATTTCAATTAATCATAAAATTAATATTAATACCTTAAATTTTAAGAAAATTAATTAAAACTTAATTATCTTTATTATTCTTTATTTTATTTACTTTAATATTAATTAAATATTTTAAAATAAAAAAATTATATTTAAATATTTAAATTAATCAGAGGATCTCTTAAAAATATTTTAAATATTTTTGATGATATATTAAAATATTTATTTGAAAACTTAATTATATATAATTATATATATATATAATATATATATATATATATATATATATATATTTTAAAATTATATGTATATTTAAACCTCTAAATATTTAGAGATCCTTTTGAAATTTTAAACATAGATTGAACTCATGAAAATAATTAATGGGGAAGGATTAGTGAATAATTGGACTTCAATTATTCAATAATCAAGTCATTAGTCCTTTTAATTATTGTTTAGTCTTTTGCATGTTTAGGATGTACGAGCATTTAGCCTAGGTTCTCTTATTTCTAAGAATATGACTTGTAACTGTGTGTTGCATTTTCGTTAGGCTACCCAATGGTTAGTCATGACATCTAATTTAAACCCCATTCAACCTAGTGACATCTTAAGGAAAATAACTAAGGACCCGTTTAAAAAACTTAGAGAAATTTCAGGGTTATGATACACCTCCAAATGACTTGAAACTCAAACCATTTAAACTTAGTGATATTTTAGACCCCCAATAATTTTCTAAAAATTTTTAGGACCCTTTAAGTCACTTGATTAATTAACCATATTCTACCATTTTAATTAAACCCTGAAAACTTCAGAAAATTCTAATAAATTCAAAAACCCAAAAATTACGAATAATATATCAAATTCTCATAATTAAACTCTTAACCCAAGAAAATTAAAAGCCTTTAATTGGACCTTGATTTGAAAACTAATTGAATTTCGACTAAAAATCACCTTTTAATTAAATTAATCAATTAAAAATTATTAAAAATTTTAAAAAATTTCTAAACATTTGGAAATACTTCATTTGGTCATTCCTGACCTTTGGAGGTGATCCTAAGAAGTTTGGACTTCATTTAAATGAAAATCCCTAAAATACCCTTGATTAAGCTATTTTAATAATTTATTAAATTCTAAAACTTCTAAAAATCATAACTTTGTTTAGATAACTCCAAATCCAGCAAACTCAAAGTCTAATTACTCCCCAAAGGGTTTAATTTTTAATAAAAATACTAGGACTCCAGAACTTAGCTTATTTCTAAAAGTCAACTTTGGATCCCTTTGATCTAGCATATAAGATAACCCCGAGCATTCCAAAATTCATTAATTCAACTTAAATTTTTGAGAATATTATCCTAAGCTTTAAAATTGACCAACCAACTAAATTAATTAAAATTGACCTCAAGACATTAATATTTAAACTTCAATTAAAATTCTCCTAAAAGAAAAAAAAAACCTTGAAGCTCATTAAAGAGGAAGTTAACCCTCCAACCTTAGAAGTAAAGCCTCTAGCCAAGAATCACAATAAGAGGCCTCCTCCAAGTTTAATTTTAGCGAAAAGATCATATCGTAGAAAATTAAAATATTTAAATATGATACATCATTAGAAAAATCGTATAATTTGTGAAGTTGGTTCCTTAATATGTTGAAATTATGATCTTTTGCATAAGAATTGCAATCTTTGGACATTTTTTGAAGAACATCCAGTATTGATGTATAGCTCCACACAAGGATTGTAGCATATCAATCATGAAGGAGAGCTACATTTGGCATGGAGGCTTAGGCTTTATTTGAGACGGTTTTCTTACTGCTTTTTAAAATAACTTTTTAGTACAAAATTAAACTTTTTGTAATAAAAAGTTGAACTAAAAAGTTGTTTTAAGAAACAATAAAAAAATCGTCCCAAACGAAGCCTAAAGCATGATTACTTATACACGACTTACACAATAACAACTAGCTTAACTATTTTTTTTCTAGTATTTTATGATTTTTGTGATCCGGGTAGCAACTTCTTGAACTAATTTGTGCCCATCATCTCTCTTAAAAATACATGAATTTATGGCTGTTCAAATAACTCTCTCAATGCTCTTAGTGTTCATTAATCGAAGATCTCTTAAATTAAAAGATTTCAAAGCTTGAAAATCTTCATTCCTTACATGTTTGATTGCAATACAAAGCTGTATAATAAATTTCATTTTGGAAAAAAAATTGTGTGCAAATTATGCTGATGAATTTGGAAATTGTTAGATTTATTCAGAAATTAGTGCTATACATAATGAGTTTGTATTGCATTAATATCAAAGTAAATTTTATAATTTCCAAACTCATCATGATATAATTTATATTATGATATCTTGATTTTTTTTTACCTAAAGTTATACTCTTTAATCTCGTTGTAGCTTTGCCAAATCTTGGTTGGGAGAAGATTTGAAGAGGGAGCCAACATCAAAGAATGCGTTCTCTACTAATGAGGATTACTCATCTTTGTCATTGTTATTCGATAAATTTTACGCTAGTTGTCGATAACAAATTTGGTGTAAGAATTTCTCCATCGATTGAGGTAGTGAAGAAGGTCTATAGTTGCAGAATCCTACACAAGAAGATCTTGGTGTGGACATCAATGGTGTTTTCTTTGTGCTGTAAATTTACTCTATTCTCTAAGCACTTTTGCCCATCAATGCACCCTTGAGCAATTTACTAAAAGAGTTGTTCTTCCCTAAACAAATTAAATTGTGTAGTTAGCAACTTCTATTATTAGAGTGGTAGCTAAGCTATTATTTGATGCATATCATACTCATTTTTGGGGCATATAGATAAGCTTTATTCCTTATTGCATATGTTCAAGCTTGAAGCTTGGTCACATGATAAGTCAAGGAAGCTTATTGCCATAGCTTATCCATGAAGATTTGACTTCATAATGTTTCAAGCTAAGTTCTTTAGGCTATAATAAAAGAAAAAATCATGTTATGTGAAGATATCATATGCGAATGAAAGGTGTATGTAACACAAATTCATGATATGATAAGATTGATAATGGATAAGTTTATTATTGTGATATATTATTCGAAGAATAAATAAGTCTCGATGTAGGAGGGTCAGTTGCTGAGTATGGGGTTTTACAATATCTATATAAGGAGAAATTATTTTGTGCGAACACTGGATTGTTCGGAGGCAAATCAGAGTACGTCATGTCACCTGATACACAACGGATACATAATTGCAGTACATAGCAAAGAGGTGACATGACGTACTCTGATTCGCCTTCACATGACATCTTATATTAGCACAAAATAATCTTCCCTACATAAGTGATGATGAGTGTTAATCATGCTTTTATATGATAGATAAGAAATCATCTTATGAGAAATATCTTAATATTTTATATATTTATTTCTCATGAATGATAATAAAAAGATAAAAAAAGTAATGTTACTAATCATTTTAAAATTTATCTTATATGTTATGCAACATTATAGTTTGTGTTTTTTGCATGTTGCGTTAAAAAGTATTATAAGAATAATTTTATTGAATTTGTTGCTTTTTGCAATGTTTTTTTTTTTTCTATATTAATAGAAGTATAAAACCAAGTTTTTATTAACAATAATAAAATATTCTCCCCCTTGAAAATTTAATATTTGGATAATATAATAAATAAAGTCATATATTTCTGTACTTTATACATTTATTTTATTTTATTTTTATTATTTAGATTCAAATAGTTGAGTTTTAAATATATAGATAGTATAAAATAAAATGGTATGAATGTAAATATTCTTTAAATATATAAAGAGTTTATGGTCTATATATATCCCTCGAAAACAAATCGAAGGAAGCTAAGGCAGCGAGAAACCCTAATTCTTTCACGTGTAGCACGGAACAAAGAAAGGCTCGAGCTCTTTGGAGGCTGACGTTTTAGATCGAGGAAGAGAAACGCGATGGCGGACGCTTACTGGAGGTACGCTGATCCACGCCAGCAGGCACCGATGGCTCCTCCGCAGCCGGCTCCGTTGAAGCGTCCTCGCCCAGATTATGGTGGTATGTGTCTGTTTCATTAAATTTGAGTTTATCTTTTCTCATATCGCAAATTTGGTTTATAGGTTTTGTTTTGATGTCGTTTCTTAAACATATGTCGGAAGGTATTATGATTAATGCTTTCGTAATTGAGATGACACAATTGAGGGGTTTCCGTGAAATGATCTGTGATGTTTATGTTTACGGTTTAGTTGTGAGGTAATTTTGGGAAGAAGAGATCTTATGCGTTCATTCCTTGGGTGATATTTGATTTATCTTTTTTTTTTGTTATTTTCAATTGTTTCTGACGGCTTAATCTAGATTTTGTTTCATGAAAAACTATAATACACTTAACATTTAATTTGGTTGTTGTTTCTATCTTCTTTTCACCTTGCAGTCCTCATACTAGCTATGTTTTGCTTCTTATACTGTTGTGTGAGCTATTAATATGGGAAGATTTGTGTGGATCCCTTTCTGGGCATGATAATTATAGTGAATTTCTATTGGATTCTATGGGATACGTTTTTTTTTGGCAAAGTACACTGGATTTTGAACTTGAATTATGTGATGTGCTGGTTCCTAGAGTGATTCTCAACTCCTTTGTAGATCTGACCTCCTCGCATGAAACCAGCTGGTGCGCTGGTCTTACTTATATTCCCATGCCAAATAAGAATACGTACTTGTACTGGTGGTACACACTATATCAAGCTAGTAATGAGCGAGGATCTAATGGATCTTGGCTTCTATTATTCTTTATGTGGAAGGGGCTTCTTCAGATCTTGAACTTATTTTCACCTTTTGCATCCCTTCCTAATTTAGGAGGCTTTTCACTAAGTAAGTTTTAAAATTGCGCAATTGGGTATTGAGGCGTTTTCTATTTGTGAGGCGAGGCATAAATCTCAAGGCATTCGGAGACATAAGTCCCACAATAAAAAAATTCTGTAAAGGTAGAATGAAGGTTAGAAGTGATATAGTAGCATCATAACTAAATAAAATATTATAAAATGACATACTAACATTCAAATGTGTTAAGAAGTAATAAATTGTTGTATATAGCAATTAATAAATTGCACAAGCTGCAAAGTAATAAGTAACTAATTGCATGTAATAGGATTGTAATGCAAACATTAATATTGTAAAGTAACATAATATTTCAAGTTGAATTTAGACGTTAACAAAGTTTATCACAAAAATACTCCATTCCTCGTTTCTTATTGTTCAATGTTGAACTAAGATTAAATTAGCAGTATAACAATAAATAAAAAATTCTCAGCTCTATCATCACTCAGGGATTCTTCATTGGAGCCATTATCAAAGTGAATAGCTTTCTCTATCCTCATACTCAATGGAGTCCAATGTATCGTAGTTAGTGGCGGATTCAGCATGTGGGCCCTGGGGGCACGGGCCCCCACTAGCCAGTTAATTAATGTCTAATTAAGACTAGTTACTTTTAAAAAAAAAGCATCTTATGATAATCATTCATTAAATAGAAAAAGCTACTGCACTTCTTACGCCCACCTGTACTTCTCCTCAAACCTCACTTTTTTAGTTTTTCAATCAGGTCTCACTCTCTCTCTCTCTCTCTCCCCCCAAAAGAAGAAGATTGTGCTATTTTTCTGGAAAAAAAAAAATCATTCTGTTTTCCCTGTCGTGTACCTATTTCCAAAAAAAAAAAACTACATATTATTTGCGCATCTTCAATTTTTAATTTACATGTTTAATTTTTATCTATAAAAAATTATTACACAGGTTGACTAATATTAAATGAAATTAAAGAGTTGTTGGGGACAGGTTGGAAAGGATATGCAATAGCATTAGAAGGCATATTTTTTGTTGGATACAATATAGTGAATCGTTAGTTCAAAAAAGTTTAGATAGTTTTCATATGTGATCTAATCTTGATATATCTAAGATAAAAATTTAAACTTAAGATTTTTTTAACTGTTTACTAATATTAAAAGAAATTAAATAATTATTTTTTATTTAATTTGTAGTTAAAGGTGCTTGTTAACATAACTTTTTCATTATTTAAAAATTTAGATTAAATAATTTCTATTTTTTGTTAATATTTGTAAATTATTTTGTCAGATTATCACGGTGTCTTTACTTCAATAAATTAGAGTCATATAAATTCCTGATAAGATTTGAAAGTTTTGAGACAAGAAAGTTAAGATCAATAGTGGAGTTAAGATTTTATTCAATACAAGTTAAGACTTTATGTTATTTTTGACACTTTATTATGCCTTTCAATATTATAAATTTGATAATTATATTTTCATTTGATTTAAATGAAGACTCGGCATGAGAAATTATAGATAATATGTAACAAGAATAATAGATATCAACGTACAAATTTTGTTATAAATCAAATGGTGTAACCTCATTTACAAATTATTTGCCATCCAATGACATGTCATCACATAGCAGTGGTTCCACGTCATCCTTCAAAACTTTATTTTTCAAGTTTTAATCCTTAACTTTTTTGTTATACATGATGCACCCCATTAGTACATCCTTAAGATCATTATATAGTTTCTTCCTTTTGTGCGAACTTGATTCTATGTATTCGAGTTGCATTCACAATTAGTTTATGAGCATGTAAGTCCCACACTTGTAATAACAAAACGTTGAAGCTTAAGCGTGTCATCACCAAATTGAATCCAACGCTCAATTAGAGTTAAAAAAAGTAATCATAAGTTTACAATATGGTGGGTACATTCCTATCTCCCTTACGACATTAGAAATAAATAAATAAATAAATAGAGAATGTGTTGCAAATGTATCAATCACCTGTTGAAGTACAAGGAAACCTTTTTTTTTTACTAGAAAGTACAATTTGCATATTAGAGTTTTCCATTTTAGATTGATTAGCAATAATCCTACCCATGCACCACTAGTATAGACCTTATTTTATCTCAAGATTTTTTTTTTGAATTGTTTGCATATTGAAACTAAGAATTAAGGTAGTAGCATGCAACATGCAAATGCCGATGGAACTGGAGCTCGCACTTATCATCGATGATATACCATATTTCCCTATAGTTTGCCTCTTTTCCTCTTAAGTTATGGGAAATCAGCTCATTTTCTTCATCCATTGCATTGTGTATAAATTCCATAGCATGCGTCTTCTCTAAATCAGCCATTCTCAACACTTGAACTAGCGGCCTAGTTATTGTTGTTGCATATGATAAACTTATCCAGAATATTTCATTCAGAATAAATTTTCCTCTAGCATGCTCTTAGCTGGGTAAGTTGTAGCAAATCTGATTGCAGTTGGATTGTAGGAGTTCTTGATTTGAAAACTTCCTCATCAATGCCAAAATCCAAGTATGATGTATATGAATTTGCTTATCTTTTTTTGCTTTACTCAGTGTATTCTTGTTTTGTGTTAGCTCTCCTAGTTTCTCAAGAATGTGATTTATACAGTGTGAGGCACAGGGTGTTTAATATATGTTCTTTCTCTTTTCCTTCAATTTGGCCATGGTTGTCCTGTAAGCATTGATGTTATTTGTCACAATTTGTGCTACGAAGTGCTCTCCTATAACCTAAACTGCTCCATCTAGCAATCCAAAAATGTACTCCACATTCATCACCTAATTAAATTCTTCTATAGACTTCAAGAAAATAGTTCCATAGGGACTATTTATCAATGTGTTAATAAACTCTTATTTCTTTTGTCAAACCTCCCATTTATAAGTATGTTAATGAATTATTAGGAAGTTTCTCGTTAATGCTCTTCACAAATTTAAGATCCAAGTTTATTGTTAATGTTCTTCAGCAATTACTTGTGAATTTTGCCGGATTAATAAGCACTTGTTGCTTTATGTAAAAGCAACCACTGATTTATGGTTGTTAGATCGCTTATTAAACTAGGATTATTAAATCTTCTGATAAAATTCCGGAAAATATTCTGCGAATTTCTGTTTCATACTGAATCACTGATTTCTTCCCTAATTCTTTAATAAATAAACTAATAAGACCTTCAGATGTTTTGTCTACATAATTTGCTCAATGTACAGAAGGCCTTAACACTTCTCTATTGCTTTTAAGGCTGTCCTATCCTATTTCTTTGCTTCATTTCTCTCTAAAATAGTTGAACTTATATCATCTATTTATTATTTTTGATATGACAGGTGCTCCTGAGACGCTTGGCTACTATCCCAGGGAAGATGAAAGGACAGTCCATCTTTCCATCAAGGATACTGAGGCCATCAATGCATCCTATGATCGTTATTTGCAAAATGGAGTATTTATACTGTGTTCTCTATCCACTCAAACTTGTCTTTTTGTCCATTAAATAGTATTGCTTGATTATGTCGACCTGCTCTTCTAGATTCCGTCCTATTCTACTGCGGAACTTGTTCGCCCCGTTGGTGGAGGATTGAATGGTCGCCCGGTTGAAGATCCACGTCTTCCAGGCATTGGAGGCATGGATAACCGGATTATTGGCTATAGCGGTGGCAGAACTGAAGCTCCTCTTCCACCGGATGCGTCAAATACTTTGTTCGTGGAAGGCCTTCCTGCAAATTGCACACGCAGAGAAGTGTCTCGTATCCTTGGCATAGTTCTGCTACATTACGCTAATTTTCATACTTAACTGTTTGGTTCCTTGACCTGTCTGCAGATATTTTTCGTCCTTTTATAGGTTTCCAGGAAGTGAGGCTTGTGAACAAGGATTCTAGACATGTGAGTTAATCATTCATTCTTCTGTACTGATTTGGTTTATTGTGTTACTATTTTTCTTCCCTTTTTTGTCAGCATGGAGATCCACTAGTGCTGTGCTTTGTTGATTTTGCCACTGCCAATCAAGCTGCAACTGCCATGGATGCTTTGCAAGGTGAAAATAATGAACTTCAAATGTTATATATGAATATTTGCCTGCTAGTTTTCTTCTAATTTCTATTTCTTCTCCAACATGTCATTGCAGTATTAGCTTTGTGTTTTCAGGAAAGTTGTGTGATTTAGAAATGCTTGTTACATAATGGCTCTTTTTGGTTTCTTTTTATCTATCTGTAGCTTGCTTAGGTTTTTTGTTTATTTCGTGTTTTAATTACTTCTGGTGGCCAATCAATACTATGGATCTATACGCCGTGATTATGTTAAACAATCGTTTAACAAAGAGATGCTAAACGAAATCTTATTCTCCTTCATGTGAGCAGTTTTTTAGCAGCTTCACTTTCAACGCAAAGTTGGGAAATAGATTACGGAAAATATAACTTCTTACTCCCAGCCTCTAAGAGATTGCTGTAAAATGGTTAGCAAGTGTGGGGTCTATTGTATAATATAGGTTGTGAATTTGTATTTTAAGATGCAATTAATCTGTGGTAGAACTTGTTGTGATCGGTAGGAAAGTCACGATTCCATTTTGCAGGTTATCAATTTGATGAACATGACCGAGATTCAGCCTATTTAAGGCTGCAGTTTGCTCGCTTTCCTGGTCCAAGGCCATCTGGCGGACCTCGTAATAGGCGTTGATTTTATGAGGTTTCTATTTCACGCGAAGAGCGACGATCTTGGTACGTTAGACTTACACATGCGGAACTATAACTCGTTCGTTATCGGCGTATGAGTCGCGTGAACGGTTACACCGAAATTAATATCGAACCGGCGTTATCCTGTAGTCGTCGATATGTATAATGCGAGTGATGGCATTAGCTTCGTCATGGTGTGTTTTATCTAATATTTTTCCGTTAGAATACTGTTAATGTTATGGCATGCATTTAGACATCATGTTCCTACTGTAAAACTTTTATGGCATTTGGTATATTGTTTTGTTGATGACAGCTTAACTTTTGAGCGTGTAGGAGCGCCATATTACTTTGTTGCGGTTCGCTACTAGTATATTATCTGTTGGACTGTTAGAAGCTAGCAGTGGTAGTTTTTGCGATAATATCAGTAATTTCTTTTTATCCTTTGCTTCTTCTAAAGTTTTAAAAAAACTGTTTACATTGTGAGGCTATGTTAATATTGGGTTTCAGGATTGAACGTAGTTGTACTCCTATGTTTCTGGCTGATTTGAACTCATGGTTCTCATGTCATAATGAAAGTTGTCGGCGTGGCGTACTGATAGAAAATACTTGACTTCGCAAGTAATCCAAGAGGAAATATTTGAGTTCGCGAGCAAGCTTAACAATAATTGGTCAAAACAGCGAGAAAAAGAAGAAAATTTGGAGGAAATCAATCTAAAAATGATAGATTGCAATAGTAGAATCAAAGCAAAACAAACTCCAAGCAATATACAATTGATCCTCAATTTGAGAGGAGGATAGGCAAGACACCAAGAAGACTCCAAGAGAATAACTCCAAATCATGCATAACCCTAACCGTAATTTTCCCCTCCTACTTAAAGCATACACTAATTAATCAAGACCAATTTAATAAACAGCCCTAAGCCCTTGCCGCCCCCTCCTTTACCTCCAAGGAATTTGAATTTGATTCTTAGTGGACCCCACTTCCCTCTCTCTTTGCCGCCTCCCTCTCCTGGTGTAAACCAAGACCGGCCCACTAGGGGCCGGTTGTAGGGGGACCGGTCCATTACGGACCGGTCTAACACGTACCCTAAACGATGAACCTTCAATGCTCATTGGGAGGTACAGATAAAGTGCCAAATATGAAAGAAAGTGAAGGAAAGCATTTCAAAAAAGTGCTTCGACCGAGATTACAATGCATTCATCAAAAGACTTAAGTCACATAATTGAGTCGCGAAAGTTCCTTTACTTTGAGCATTAAGACCCCTATGGAGGGCTTTATAGTGCCTGATCTTAATGAATAATCATTAGGTGAGGTGTCCAGTTATTTAAACAATAGCTCTAGGCTTGCGCTAGTCTTTTGTCTTGCATGAACCCCTTTAGGAATTTGGTTCAATCTGCTTTTAGGTTATTCAAAACTTGCAAGAAGTAGAGCAATGCGATTATTGGTGGTCTTAACGACATAAATTTCATATATCTACAATACAATTTCAAGTCATACCAATATCAACACATAAAGTACGAAGCAGTTACAGGCTATGAGAAATAAAATAAAAAAACTAACCGCTGATAATTCTAAAAGCACATATTATTAACTCAATAAATAAAACTCAAGCGAAGAAGTATTTAGATGAAGGCGTGTGGCCATCAACAATAGTTGAAGTAATTGCGGGTTGTGGATCTTGCGAATATTATGGGGATATTGGCATAGATTCTTCGTATACCTTAGAGCATCTCTAGCGGAACTCCAAATGCTTGAATGCTGTCGCCCCGGAGCTCCAGCTGAACGGTAAAACTTCCGCTATTTCCTTGGAGACGGTCTTAGTTCATCCTTGTATGATTCACGTTAAAGAGAAAGATCGTAACCTTCGCAAAATGGAGTTCGATTGGAGATGAATCGCAACATTTTTAAGTTTCACGACATTTTGGAGTGAAAAATGTGATTTTTCGTTGGAGAGGGTCTTAGTTCATCCTTGTATGATTCGCTTCTTATCAAACACCACCACAGAATGTGCAGAATATCCCGTAAAATAACTGGCTGAGTCCATTAGCTAATTAATAAGTGGCTGTGAGTTTTTTAGGATGGTCTTGACTAGTACTGTCATAGTGAAATCCATTCAGTTCAATTTTATGTTATTAATGCCTATGGCTATGATTGCAGCTTTATCATATTTTCTCTCTAGCTGTAGAGAGGACTCTGTATATAAGATTTGGCTTGAAATTCTATGATATATGCTTTTGGGTTCTTCGTTTCCTGTTTCTTTTCGCCCTTTTGAAAATTTAGTCCCATCTTTCTCTGAAATTATGTTATTTTGCGTACATTTTGGTATGTTTGTTAGTTTTTATATTTCAAATTGTATGCTGGTTGATCTACAATTATATTATTGTCAATATTATAAAGTCGTACTATATACGTGCTGGCTTTATTTTCTGCTGATTATGTAATCAGTATGTAAAGTTAGGAGAACAGTGTTACTATTAACTGTTTATTATATATTAATGATCTGATATATGTGCAAAATAGTTGAAAGCAGCTTAAACGGAAGTTTTTTTTTTACTCTTTTCTATGACATATGTGCAAATGTTTATAAACAATATAAATTTGCTTTGATCAAAGTAGATTATTAAGAGCGCGGTTAACATCTTACCTAATGATATTCATTTAGGAAAGTTAAACATTTAAGAACAGTAAGCAACAAATAAGAAAAGTATAAAAGAAGGGGCAAATGCAACGACATTAAATTAAATTTATTCTAATACCTTAATTCAAATGAGACTTCCATAGCTCCTAAATTTATAAGGAACGAAGCATGCGTGAGTGATATTGGTTCGGCTCACCTTTTCCTCAATCCACTGAGCAGGCGAGCCTAGCCAATATCATCATGTATGCTTCTTCCGCTCCGTATTTCATTTCATAACATAAGCAGGCGTATTTATACAACGCGGATACCGTAACAGAAGTAATCTCAGGTGAAAGCATAAAATAATTCATAATAAATTATTCTCTGTACATTTTCTTCATGCATACAGCTAATGATTGTTGAATGCCCGACCTTATTGTTGTAGTTAGCTAAGAGGTTAATGGTGATTTCCAGCTGTGCTATTTTCCAGTTGCACAAACAGCTTCATAAAATAAAATAAAGTGAACAGAAAACAAATGCTTGGATTTGCATAATTTCAAATTAGGTTTATTTACTATTTACATATATAATATAAAATTTGTTTATGTATTTTTTTAAATGGTAGAGATAATATTAATATTTTATGCATAAATTTTGATGTGATTAGATACAAAGTATTATATAAAGATTTAATTTGTAGATATGTAAATACTTGAATTTTGGTGGTATGGATGTAAATCCCCTATTAGCTGATCAATTATAATATTACTCGTTTACTTTATATAATTTATTAATCAACTAACATTTTTATATTTTTAGAGGTGTTTTAAAATAAATATAGTGATCATAAAATATATTATCATAAGTAAATTTAAATCAGAATATTTTAAAAATTATTTATTTTTTGAATATTTATTGCCAAATATTTTATACATATTCATGAGATAGGGTGGAGAATAAGTAGATAGGCATTGACACCATTTGGAACTCCGTCAATGCAAAGATCTCATGGTGGAATAATAATTAATAATGCTCAGAAGCAGACTTGGGCACAGCAGAAGACAGCACAAGAAAACAGATTCACCAAGCCCATTAAAAATCAATTTTATGAAGATTTAACATATAAGAATCTAGTCAAAATGAATAGAAAAAAAATAATATAAAAATTAGTTTCCTGCTCTTTCAAACTTTCATATACAATTATAAAAGGCAGTACACAATGAACTATTATTATGTATTAATATGTGCTTTATATCTTAGCTTAGTACAAAAATTCAATATGTATAGGTTCGGAGAGCACTTTTTTTTATATATAGATAATCAAGAATGAGAACAATCACTGGGCTTATTTGGGCTAAAAGTGAATTCAGAATATCTACATAAAGCCTACACAAAGCCCAAAATTGGGCTCGAACCAGCTTGGGCCGGGCCAGCTGGCCACTGCCGGCGTCATATAGATATACCCAAAAATTATGCTCAATGCACTTGGGAACTCACAAACAAATCAGGATCAGGTAAACACGATCCCACACACTTTGGTGAAAGAGAGGGATCTAGAGGTGTAAACGAGTCGAGTCAAGTCGAGTGTTTGTCTTATCAAGCCTGACTCGTTTAATCCATAATGAGCTCAAGCTCGAGTTCGAGCTCGATAAGTGGGCTCAAGCTCGACTCGTTCAGGAAATATGAAGCTCGAGCTCGTTTGAAAAACTGTAGCTGCGGTCAAATTTTTTTATAAAATAAGCTTTCAAATATATATTATATCGAGTAGCTTGATAAGCTTTCGAGTCGAGTCGGGTTGAGCTCGAACTCGATCTCATTTATCATACGAGCTCGAGCTCGATAAATTCGGCTCGTGAGCTCGTTAACGAGTCGAATTCGAGCCGGCGCAAGGCTCACTTACACCCCTAGAGGGATCCTAAGGTAAAAACTATTTCTCAAACAAACGATTTAAATTATTATAATATCTATCATCCATACAGCCCTCCGATACAAGGTTCAAATCTGATTCGAACCTTGTTTATAGTCACATTTATGAATGATTAGCTAATTAAATCACACCTAAAAGTTAGTTTAAGTATGAATTTAGAAGCTGCAATGCAACTGTGGCCACTATATTTTGATCTGGAAACTAAAAGAACAATAAAAAGATTCTCTAGATTAGAACAGGAAAACAATAGCTAAAGTCCATTAGACAAGAAGGTATATTGTGATAGAAATTCTATATGCCAGTATCTAAATAGTTGTATCATCATAAGTTCTTTTTACCAATCACTGAGTTTCAGGCTTCTGACGCTTCAGGTTCTGAAGAATAGGCTCTTTGATCTGTGAAAATCTTCTCATTAAATCTCCAATTAATAGGATTTTATATGCTTCATGCTTAAAGGGAACATACCATGCTTGTTTTACGAGATCTTTTATCTTGTGTTGAACGGCTACCTTCAGCTCCAGAAGGGCGGAAGATCTTGCTTCCTAAAACTCCACTCTCTAAAGAAGAAATCGGCTGAAAAAACACATAAGTAGGACTGAGTTCACAAGAATTGGTGAAGATTAGATTGATAAAAAAGAGCCTCATATTTGTTAATCAGGGTGTTGACCGGCTCTTGTGCTTTCCCACTATATGTCTGCCCACTGTGAACTGATTCACTTTTATGTGGTTCAGATTGTCCTCGGGTGCGAGTGAGATCTGATCCAATGGAGTGGAGGCCGCCATAGGTGGAGCCATCCTTCATGTTGTGATCTAAGATATTAAATCATCATCAGAATTTGAGGATAAATGAAATCAGAATAGCAGTAAAAATAAAAAAAACAACATAAGAAACCATTGTGCTGTAGATCTTTGGCGTTGAATTCAAAAGCTTGGTTGGGGATTTCAATTTCCTGAATCAAATGGGGTTTTGTGAGCTAAGACGGGAAACATATGCAACAACTTGTTAACCCAGCAGCAAATTGTAACTGCAGTAACTGAGCTTTACCATCGATTTTCCATCTAGTAATTCTTTGACCTCAGCAAGCTTCTTGTTGCTGGCTTCAGATTGAACTACAAGCTTGCCTGCAAAAAATTGTACTTAGCAGTTGCTGTAGAGGAATAAATTCTCATATTTCCTTTAGAATTTACTATAGGATAATGGTTCGATAACTAATGCAATTGAAAACATTCTTGAACACGTTCACGGCGTTATGAACTTCTGGCTTATATTTTATAATTACCATATATGCATATATGTATTGGAAAATATTACTTCACTTACCAAGCCTCTTCTTTCCGGTGTTCTTAATATAGCCGTCCTTAACCATTCTATCGAGCAATTTTTTTACTGTATTCTGATTGGCTTCTCCAGACAGCTTGTGTTGAAGCTTCACTGCTGTCACATATTTCATTGGAAGAGCATGATATAGAGCCTGCAGAAAACTTGGCCGTATTTAGTCTTAAGAATGTAAGCCTCTATAAACTGGAATTAAACAACAAAATACTATTGAATAATTACCTTCATGTACATGTAGTCCTCATCAACGTTGGTATTCATTCTTTGTTGGATGTCATGCATTTCCACAAACTCTTCTTTCACTTCGTCGTTTTCTGTATGCATTTCCTGATAGCACAAATTTGTTAGAAAAAGTAGTAGAGTGAGAAAATAAACAGATATATATAAAAAAACCTTTTCCCTTCTGATGATGTAACTATCCTTGCCAGCTTTACATAGTACTCCTTGTTTTAGCAACTTCTCCACAATATCTGAAGAATTTCCAATGTGTGAATCAAGAAGAAAATATCAAGCAATAGTTGTTGTATTCTTTGCCTACTACCTTCAGTTAGGGCCTGCAGATCATCAAAAACACCATCAGACTAAAGCATCAGAATATATGAGACTTTAACTGAAGCTCATATTACAATTTACAAGTACGATTTATTTTTAAAATATATAGGTTTTTTAGAAGGCAGACAAAATCAGCCCTAAGAGAAATATACGAAATAAAAAGCTGATGCAAATCATAGAATTACCATTGATATGTCCGGAAAATTGGAAAGAATGTCAGCATGATCAAAAGTGTTGATATGCCTAGAAAAAATCCAGTCCTTCACTTGAGTTATCAATTCATCTTCATGTGAAGCATCTTGAGTTTCAGCTATAACCATAAAGAATTCATGAGAAAATACATACATATATATGTAGAATGCAGGCTATGTGGAAGAAATGATATGAAGAAGCAAGAAATTGGAATATTGATTTGATTAATTCAACTAATTGTATTTATGACAAAGAATGTTTCAAAAACTGGCTTACCATCAGAGTTGTTTCCATTATCTTCAACTGGAAATTTCTCACCTGTTGAGAAATTTTTTATTTTAGTAGTATTACTGTAGCTAAAACTTGAATGCATTATACGGTTTATACCAAACTAGGTCAATGAATTACCAGCAGGAGCTACATAGTAATGGTCAGCAAGGGAAGGGCGGATCTGAAATGCATTAATGGTAAGTTTAAAATCTCACAGGAATATCTACCGAAAACAGCCTTTTTTTATAAAATGAACATAAACATGCCCCCCCCAAAAAAATCTGAATAAATATAATAAAAAATATAAAATTCTAGTATGGTTTAAGTTGTATGAATGTACATCACTGTCAGAAGAGGAATCATGATCTTGATCAGAATCGACTCCTAAGTTTTCCCCCTCTTCCTCTTGATGGTTATCATTGTCATCTTCACAGGGATCAAGGATGCTCTTCACCTGCAAAAGTAAATTCATTTGTTGGGCAAGCTCGAAAAAATAATTTTAGTTTTGTTGAACTACTTTTTCCTTGCAAACCTTGAGGGCTAATACCAAATGCCTGCTATTGACATTTCCAACCGCCATTTTTAATGGATTTTTGGTCCATATGTTCCTGGCTTCATTTTCACTGCAACTTCTAAAAAAGGGAGGTTCGTAGTCCGTTGGCTGCAGATGCCCATAAATATATTTCATGTATTAATTCGAAGAATGAAAACGATGATTGCTTAAGTGGCGCCTTAATTACTAAAGAGAAAAAAATATATCACAAATGACCATACTGGTTGCTTGAACGAGTATCACATAATACATTATTAAAACAATGAGCACTGCTACAACAGAGGAAAATACATAAGGCTTATGTTGCAATGTACGAAAATTAAATATGATATTTACCGTAATGTCATCATAATAGAGAAGCTTCATCAGAATGGTTCGCTGAGCAACAAGCAGAGATTTCTTTAGTTTTTGAAAAGAAACAATCAATTCGTACTGCAACAATAGTTCATAACAATCAGGCATTAAGTTGTACCTCAGATGGCATGTGATCCAGAGTCCTCATCAGTTGAACCAGAGTACGAATCATCTTACAAGCAGAGCTCCTAAAACACCCATATCCTGAAAACCTAACTCATGTAAATTGCTTGACAAAATTAGGATGGCCATGCGAAGTACCTCATCTGATCAGGAGTGATGTCCATGCTATTAGTCCTGAAGGTGGCCCCATTCTTTTTGTTTCCATTGCGACTTATGTTCATTGACACCTCTTCCTTGCAAGAATCCATATAATTGAAGGAAACTGCAAGCATTGATCCATGAAGAGTGAGTTCATTATGTATAAGATGATTAAATTCCAAGAATACAATCAAGGAACACCAAGAACCTAGATCTCATCATCATTCAAAAAGGGGAATGCCATTATCTATTCTAATAGGAAAGCAAGGACAAAGTCATATCCATAATAAATAAGCAAGGACAAAACCATAAGAAAACTATAAGACATCTTGGAGATGATGATCCACTCATAACAAGCAGTCATCTAATTAAGATCTCACATGTAGTCAAGGAAAAAAAAACAGAAGTAGGCATTGAGCACGTTCTAACTAGCAAAGTATCTCATCAAAGAAAAAACTAGTAGCTCACAAGAATATTCCTCTATCATGGGGCCTTCTACATCCTCACAGATACAGAATAATAGTGTCTTGAGGTATTTTTTCTGTAATGCATCGTAGACACCTGAAAAAATCATCCAAACGACGAATAATGCTTTACAAATAATATAACCAAGTAAACCAAAAAATTGCCATTGCGAATGGAAACAAGCAAGAAGCTCATTGATGAACACTTTTTATTTGTCCATACCTTTCTCCATCCAGTCGATTAGCCTCCTGGATTCGGCGTCCAAGGGCATCAGCTTCTTAATCTTCATCTCTGAAGACACGAAAAACAAGACGTATCAAATTTTATAGGCGTTCGGTAAAATCAAAGTGAGCAAAAAATACGCGAGATGTAAAACAAACCTAGGGCGGGAACCGACTTGTCATTGAAGTATTTCTCAGGAAAAAGCCCTCGTATGTAGCTGATGTTGAATATCGCAATGCGGAGTAGATTTCTAGTCTAGTTGTCAACAGAGCATCGATAAGATCGACAGATTCAGATAAAAAATTTAAATACAGCGACCAACCAAGTTCATCGATGAGGTTTTAACTATATCCGACAGACACCGAACAAAGTGGAGGATGGATGAACAAAACTGCCACATATAACCATGGATTGTAATTAAATGACCCCATGTCTACTCGTATGGCCTAATTAAAACTATCAAATCGTATAAAACAAAGCTTCTGGCCAAAGAAAGCGACAAAATCCACCCGATCCTGAAATCCACAAGCTCGGACATCAGAAAGTATTAAGGCCGCGCGCTCGGCTCAAATCCAAATAACAAATGAATAGATAAACGAAAATACACTAAACCTTCTCGCGAAAAAAATCGACAAAATGCAACCGATCTCTCACATCAGAAAGTATTAAGGGTGCGCGCTCGGCGCAAATCCAAATAACAAATGTATAGATAAACGAAACTACACTAAATCTTCTCGCGAAAGAAAGCAATAAAATCCACCCGATCGCTCATGAAATCCACAAGCTCGGACATCAGAAAGTATTAAGGGCGCGCGCTCGGCTCAAATCCAAATAAAAAAATGAATAGACAAACGAAGATACACTAAATCTTCTCACGAGAGAAAGCGACAAAATCCACCCGATCGCCCATGAAATCCACAAGTTCGGACATCATAAAGTATTAAGGGCGCGCTCAGCTCAAATCCAAATAACAAATGAATAGATAAACGAAAATGCACTATAAATCTCGAAGCAATGTGCAGAAAATAAGCCAGAAAATAGATGAGAACTTACCAGCAGCAATGATTCCTGCTCCGTAATCTCAGCCGCCTTCACTTGCTGAGCAACAACCTGAAGCATAGAACAATCTATCAAGTAGAGAGAGAGAGAGAGAGAGAGAGAGAGAGAGAGAGATCACCATTTTGTCGCCTTCCGGGAGAAGAAAGTGCCAGTGATCCTAGTGTCGCTGGAGGAGGATGAGTGGGAGTTTTGCAGGCGCGTGTAGTCGTCTGGCAGTTGTGGGAGGCTATATATAGGCTGTCGAGGTCAGGGGAGGCGGGGAGGTGGCCCCACATTGTTGTGCTCCGCATGTGCATTATTATTATTTATTCATTTATTTGAACGGATATATTGGGATTAAATTTGTTTAATTTTTAAAAAATGTAAATTAATTTAAAATTGAAGTATACTTTTTATAAACCATTTTTTCGCGATCTATCTATCAATATTAAATTCAAACCTCCTTTCCATCTTAACTTTATATGTTATGCACACCGGGGTGTCAATTTTGATAAGACCCAAAATTCGACCCGAAAAAATTCTAGTTAGGGTCAACCCGTACCTGAAATCGGTCGGGTTTGGGTTCAACAAATCAACCCGTTTTAAAAATCGGGTTGGGTTTGGGTTGACCCAGCAACCCAAAAATGACCCGAAATTGACACGAAAACTCCTAGAGATTGACCCGTTTTTTACCAGATTTTGACTCCAAAATCGAAGATTGACTCAATTTTTTACCCGAAAACTAGCAATTTTAGGTCAACTTCGGGTCATTCGTGTCGGGTCGTGTTGAAATGGACCCGAATCGGGACGGGTTCGAGTCTGAAAACCTGACCCATTTTTCTCTTCTTCTCCTTTGTCGTCATAATTTAATTGTAATCTTTTAAGTCTTAAAAAAGATTCTACTTGTTGCGTCCTGAAACATTCGCGACGGTAGAGAGATATATTGCGTCCAAGCTTTATATGAAGATCCAACACACAAATAGAAGAGAGCGAGGGGTATAAGAGTCATAAGAGGCACACAAATTTATACATTTGAAAATGAGAAAAATCACAATGCCTGGCCTAATTAAATTATTATATTGGGCTTTTTGTTGATACAAATTAGGCTCTTCCTTGGGGCAAGACCTTGGCTTGATGTAGTAAAAATATATCATATAGAGCATATGACATGGTGGAAGTTGGAGGGAACGTTGTCGACGATCTAAGGGAATGTAGTCGACGAGCGATGGAGGTCGGAGGGACTGCAATTAAAGGGCTATGGTGGTCAGTGGGATGATAGTAGGGAGGGCGACGATGTTTGGAGAAATTGTAGTTGGCGAGCAATGGTGGTCAGAGCTACTATAGTCGAAGTGAGCGATGGAGGTCAGAGGGACTGGAATTAAAGGGCGACGGTGGTCAGTGAGATGATAGTCGGGAGGGTGACGATGGTTAGAGGAATTGTAGTCGGCGAGCAACGGTGGTCAGTGCGACCGTAGTCGACGAGCTACAAAGGTCAGAAGGACCCTAATGGGGCGACGCTATTCGGTGGGACCGTAGTCGGCATGCAACGGATGTTAGAGGGATAGTATTCAACAGATGTTAGATATCAGAGGGACAATCTTTAGCAGGCGATGAAGGTTGGAGGGACCGTGTGTGTGTAGAGAGAGAGAGAAGGGGGGGTAGAGAGAGAGAGAGAGAGAGAGAGAGAGAGAGAGAGCTAGGCTCCTTGATCGTAGATTATTTACTGGGCATTTAAATGTCTTAATGATATCAGAATTTGATGATCTTTGGCTCATTGGATTCTTCTCGTTGAACCGCTCGATTCGACTACAAGCATGTCACATTTGGAAACAGTTTGGTCATCCAATTTATAGTTTAAACCTTTCAAATACAGTTCGGGTCTTCGATTTGGTCTCATTTGGGCTCAAATTGAGTCAAATTTGGCATCGTTGAGTTAGTCTTTTTAAGATGTTCAATTTGACTATAAGTTTGATGAAATCAGAGCTCGGATGATCCCAGATTTAATTTCGAAAACTTCCTAACTCAATTTTTTCTCAAGATTCGGGCATGATCAAGATTCATTTTTGATGATATATCAATAATATATCTCCAAATATTGATCCTACGAAGGCATATCCCCTACAACTGTACTTTTTAGATCTAAAACTATATAAAAGAATTCTTGGCAAATTGACAAAGTCTTTGATATGGTTAACTAAATTACATAATTTTATTAATTAAAAACTTTATTATTAATTAGGTAGTTATTACTAATTTGTGATTACTTATAAGCACATAACAGTCAAATTAAATGATAAGTTCTGAACCTAATCTAGGCTTATTTTCACTGTTATAGGCTTACAAGTAATGACAAACTTACTAATAACCACTAGATATGGAATTCCTTACACCAATTTACTCCAAATTAAATATCTCCATAAAGAATTAAATAATTATAAACACAATTAATATATAAAAGGCTTAGGCTTCCAATATTAATATCTCATACTCATGTATAAGGCTTTTGATATGGAGAAATGATTCTGTGCTGTCACCGGATCGTTCGGAGGCAAATCAGAGTGCGCCACATCACTCGGTGCATAGCACTGGTACATAGCAAAATAGTGACGTAGCACGCTCTAATTTGTCTCCAAACGACGTCCGGTCTGACCAACCGAGAAGAAGTGGAGGAGGCCTCAACTTGACCAATAGCTTTTCTTCCTACTCTTTAGCCTTCATCATCGATAGTCTTGGTGTTTTCTCCTTCTTCCCTCCTCTCCTCTCCTCTCTCTCTCTCTCTCTCTCTCTCTCTCTCTCTCTCTCTCTCTTCCTTTTCTTCGAAATCAAATTCAATGATTTGTATCATGATATCTTGGTATCTTCTTCTTCTTTTCCTCCTACTTATGAATGTTTTTATTTCTGAATAATAAATCTTATGTTGGATAAACTATATGACATCTAATTGTTCAACTAAAGGGCCTTAAAATAAATAAATAAAATTTATTCATGAATATATAAAAGTCTTTTACCTAAATAAAATATCTTAAATTTAATTTTTTTTATGCCGAGTTAAAATTTAAAATTTATCCAAAAAAAGGCTGAGAGAGATCACAATTTTTTTTATTAATTAATCAATAATAATAAATGTGGCCTTTAAATATGAATTTATTGGATTTGGACCCTCTTCAAATATCCTCATAGTTATTAGCCCATGCAATAAGCTAATTTATATGAAATAAAAGCACAAGAAAACTAAGAGATTTAGAGTTTGTTTGGTACAACTTTCTTTCTGCTTCTTAAAACATTTTTAGTAAAAAATTAAAAATTTTGTACTGAAAAATTGCTTTAAGAAGCAGTAAGAAAGCCGCCCCAAATGAAGCCTTAGTAGCCACTTCATATTTTCTTGAGATTTTTGTAAATGGCTAAAACAGATTTCAATTCTCTTAATCATCTCTTTCATTTTGTTCTGGTTCTTTTAAAGAACAATAAAGAAAACATCAACATAAAGCTAGTTCATAGCATAAAATGAGTCTTTCTTTATTTCAAACTCTGCAAATTCTAAGGTTAAAGCATAAAAAAAAGAAGAAGACTACTTCAGAGCTCCTTAAAAAAACAAATGTGAAACATTGCAGTAGTATGTGAGTACATTTAGAAGCAGAACAGTTTTCTTCCTGCTTTCTAAAAAGTTATTTTAAAAAGCAACAAAAAAACAGTTTCAAACGAAGCCGAAATCTAAAGTTATGTATTATAGCATTATACATATGTGAGAATAGATCACTACTTTTCACATCTTTCTCCAAAGCAGTGTTCCACTTCCACTGATCTCAACTTTTTAATCATACTGTATCTGAAGGAAGTCTCAGCACAGAGTGGCCTTCAATCACACTGTTCCAGAAAACATCACAGCAATTTTCATTAGTTTGTTTAACAGAATGATGGGTGGTTTGAACAACAATATATTTCATAGAAACTTAGGTCTCGTTTGGGACAGCTTTCTTAATGCTTCTTAAGATAGTTTTTTAGCACAAAAATTAAAAATTTTATACTAAAAAATTGCTTTAAGAAGCAACAAGAAAGCAGCACCAAACAAAACCTTAAATGAGATACCTTTTAATGTAATAATAACAAAATTCAGCCAAGATGGAAGTCTGAACAATCTCTGAAAGGAGGACCATTCCAGGCCACAGTCCATATCCAAGCGCAAGCAATATGGTTCCACGACTGTTGACAACCTGCAGAGCAGAATAATTTTTTTTTTTTTTTTTGGGAAAATTAAGGGAAGAGCAGAATAATTTAGAAGAAGGTTCTGCATTCTAAGGAATTTCTTGTTCAGAACATTCAAACTCAATTTCTTGCACTGGAGCTGTTAGAAAATTGGGAGAAAATGAAATACAATGGAGAAGGAGAAGTATAACAAAAGGGAAAATGATCAAAATAGTACATTGACTATTTATGAAGGATCAAAATAGTCCACAAACTATATTAAAGAATAATTTTGATCTTTTATAAAAAGTCAATGGACCATTTTGAGCATTTTCTGTATAACAAAACAACTCATGAATATGTATGTATTATATTAAATTAATATGGATGGTAGATAGCATCACTACATTGAACCAATGATATTGTCAACTCTGATAGTAATCAACACATGCTTATCATATCTAAATCAAAATTTGTTAGAAGGGTAGATGAGTTCATCTTTTAACAACAACAACATCAAGCCTTTGTCCCACTACATGGGGTCGGCTACATGAATCCTTTTTCTATATTGTGTCATGTTAAAAGTCAAATTCTCATTTAAATCTAATAAAGAAAGATTTTTACTAATATTTTCTAACCAAGCCTTTTTAGATCTACCGCTACCTTTCTTAATATAATTCAAATCTAATACCTCTACTTTCCTAACTGGGTCATCGGAAGGGGAAATTATTGGTTCCGGAGCACTTATGCGGTCCAGAGCCCAATGAAAATGCGCCACATCACCCCCTATTCGGTATTTAGCTCGGTACTGAGCAGTACTGATTAGTACCAAGAGTACCGAGCTCAGTACTGCTCGGTATTGTTCAATACCGAGCTTAGTACCGCGCAATACCGAGCTTAGTACTACTCGGTACTGAATAACGTGGGTGCATCTTATTGGTCTATGGACGGTAAATTGTGTACGCTGTAACTGAAAATAAAATATTGTTGGTGAGCACTGTTGAACATATTTCCAGAAAAAGCGTGAGAAGGTAGTTCTAGAGTAGCATGGAACATTGCACCACCTAAAACAATACATTTGCCATATAGTAGCCAGTAAAAATTAATATCATAGCTGGTCAAAAATGAAATTGTAGTATTTTTCACCTGAAGTATCCAATGTGCACAGCTTAAGAAACGAGCAACCCCCAACGCAAAAACATAATGAGCTGTCAATGACTCAACAACCTGCAAAAGAAATAAATAAAAATGCATTGCATTTTATAGGTTAAACCGACATATATGAACAAGTAAAAAGAATATAATGGACCTTGGCATTCTTCATCAAGCGAAGCTGTGGCATAATTGCAACTGTTTCTAAATTGCAGCCAAAAGCCAATATGAGTCGATTAATCAGAGCTTTAGATGATGAGGTTGGATGGACAAGAAGTGCCATAACAGCGCATGCTATCACCTGAAACAAATTCCTCCATTGAGACCAGCATGATAAAACTATAATTCCAACGCTACAAGGCTTAGGCTTTGTTTGGGATGACTTTCTACTTGCTTCTTAAAACGGATTTCTAGTATAAAAATTAAAAATTTAAACAAAAACTTAGTGTGTGCAGGATTTGGAGCAACATGAAGCATAAATTAATATTAGATGGAAAATGTGAGGCTGTCAAAATCCAAAAGGAAAAAAAAGAAGTTATCATGCTAGCAAGATTCATTTGAAGATCAATGATTTGATCCTGCAAAATAGAAATTCTTTTTCTTTGGATACAAGAAGAGATGACTCAAACAATTTATATATAGATCATGATATATATAGTAACTCGAGCATCTATTTGAAATGAATATATTAACAGAGGGCTCCAGGATTGGCACAAGCATCTCAATTAGCTCATGTATTCCCTCCTACACTAGAGAAACATTGTAAAATTTGCTCCTACATTGGGCAAATGCTCATTGGTGCTTTGAATTAAGTTCATCAAGAGCTTAGAGCTTACACCAAGCCGGTACCAACTTAGCTAGACCATTTTGGCCCTAAGGGCTATGCTCCATTGGGCACTTGCTTATCGTAAATAATAAAAAAAAACCTTAATTCATAGCATACAATAGGACTGAACAATTGATTGTTTTGTAAATAATTACAGTATGCATAGTTTAAAAGAGCATTCAATTTGTCGTGTTATAATATAAATATAAATTATATAAGAATATACTATTCACATAGATAGGACATGAGTGAGAGTGTCTCAAAAAGGAGAAATTTTTACGTGTGGAGTCCGGTTACATTCGTACTCCAATAAAAATGTGACATGTCTTTGTACACAGTGTGTACAACTGTACAGTACACACTATATACAAATTACAAAATTATGTACATAATGTATACAAACTTATATACATAATACACACATTATGAATAGATTTATACATATTGTGTACAAGGATACATGTCACATTTTTATTGGAGTAATAATTTCTCCTTAAAAAAGAAGCATTTTATTGATCGAAAACATGAATAGCTGAAGCTATCTAGTGTAAATTTTATTGTGTACCAAATACACATAAAAATTCTGAAATTTTAAAAAATATAACATATTGTAGAATGTCAAGGCTACCAGATACTGCACTGAAAAGTTGTCCTCATCCTCCATGTAACTTGACTTCAAGATAACACGTATCATATAGACAACCCACAAAGTTGTTATCAATGTGGACATGTCAAGTATTGCATGTATGTCGAATGTCGTATAACTACAATAAATTTTGATTCCCAAAAATAAAGCCGTCAACTCCTGAGATTTTAGAGAAAGTCCTGTCATGTAATGAGAAGAAAAAAAAATTAGCACAAAGCGAAAACCCCATTTTCCACTCTAAAATATCGTAAAACTTCAAAATGCGATAGTTAATCTTCAATGGAACTCCATTTTTCTTTTGTGAAGGTAACCATCTCTCTTGTTTGGTGTGCTTCCCGCGAAGCTAATGGCTTTTTTTGGCATGGGTGAACAGTCCGAAGCCAATATTCACGTCGCACTGTTCACCTACCGATTTTTTGACATGAGATTTGGAGTTCGAATGCAGGAATTCGCGGACGGCATATAATGATATGATATGCAGTTCGGTTGGAGATGATCTTAGAGCAAGAACAAAAAGATAACTTTTCTCATTGCGATCTGTTCCAGATCAATCAACATATAAATAGTGCAAGTTCTCACCGGCACAAGTGCGGCCCTTAATGAGCTTGTAGATGAGAAGCGAGATGCCTGTGACATGAGAAAGCTCGGCTGTGAAGAAGATGAACCCGGGATCAATGACGCAGATCCACAGAAGCAAGAATACAACAGTGCCGATCAATGCCTTTGTTTTCGGAGGCTGCCTAACTACCCAAGCCCTTGGCACCATCGTCGTTCTAACCAGATTCATCCACGGGCTTGCCCCCATTGTTGCCCTTCAGATTTCCAAATAGAACAAAGGAAACCACGCTGTTGAAATCCTATGACCATCTCAGTTTCCTCCATAATAACAATTTGTATCTAACTCTAAGCAGCATACGAGGAACATTTTTGAGAGTAAAAGCTTAAATTTTAATGCTTTCACGCCGGCAAGCACCGATGACTCCTCCGCCGCCGGCTCAGCTTATCGGTTTTGCTTTTAGCTAGTTTTAATGCAGATGTACAAGGCGCATAATTAAAATTAAAAAATATATATTTTTTTTAAGAAGATTAAATTGTTGTATTAAAAAAAAAGTAAAATATGAATTTGCCTAATTGACAGTGACAAAAAATATATAAAAAAAAATTATATTAAATTTATTAATTCAAATAATGAGATAGATTTCACAACTACATTCCATGATTTTAGAGTAAGGATTAATAATGATTAATAATAAAATAAACCAAATTTTTTTAACATAAAAAATATATTTGATAGCACATTACTATCATAGAGATCATATTAAATTTATATTATGTTAGATAGAAATATATTTCGTTTGTACAAAATTTCCTAGAAATTATGATAATAAATATGAATAAGAATTATTTATGACTTAGAAGTTTGTACAAAATAATTTTTTTATTGTTGTATGGCATCTAAAAATTTATCAGTAAAATAAAAAAATCTATAGAATAAAATATGTGTAATAAGTAAATGTGGATAAAATATAAAGATTTGAGAATACTTTTATAAAATATTAAAATTTACCAAATTATTTGTTTTTTTAATGAGATCAATATAAAACTTATAATTAAAAAAATTAAAATAATAATAATATTCAAATAAATAGCAAATATAAAAAAATAAATGAATATTGATAATTATACCTAAATTTAATGTTAAAAGAATTAATACAATTTATATGTGGTACATTTAATATGAAATATATGATATTCATCCCATAAAGATTACATAAATTACAATAATATAAAATCAAATAAATTAAAGAACATGATACTCAAAAGTTAGGCGAAAAAGCTAGAAATTTATCTTAAATTGAAGTATTAGTAGTTTGATAAAAAAAAATTTTTGAATCCATTTAAAATATTTTGTTTTAATTAGAATTTTTTTGTACTAGAACGATATTTTAAAAATAAAACTCATAAGAAAATAAATTGAGAGAAAACTAAGAGAAATAATGCAGAATAACGCTAGATTTTACAACCCTAACTTCAATCCCAAACTTAGATTATTATTATTATTATTACAAAGCAAATTAGCAACCTCATACCCATCTCATGCATAGGAGAAATTATTATGTGCGGAGTTCGAACATATCTGTGTTCGAACTCCAACGAAATCAAATCATGTGACTGGTACATAGGGCCTGTATAATATGGCAAATTATTGCGTCCGATGTCCAGATTCGTCCGGACACCAATCCACACGCGACACATCAGCAAAATACACCGGGCCCCAATGTATTTGGGTGATGTGGCGCATCCGGATTGGTTGTCCGGATGTCAGGTGACCGGATGCAATAATTCGCCGTATAATACACACCGTATGTACAAGCTACGTGTGTTAATTTTATTGGAGTCCATAGACTCCGCACTTAAGCATAGGGCCAACATAACCCTAATTAAAATTAAAAGTTCTTAAAACGAAAAAAAAAAAGAGTATGAGGATATCTAAAATCTAAAAAATGCTGTTAACATATTTTTAAATATTTAGTTTATAATTTAAAATATTAAATTTGGAATGAATCTTACCTTTGGCTTGTAATCCTTTGCCCTGCTCGCTTGCTCATTCGGTCTCACTCCCCTTTCCTTCTTCGCGATTTATAGGGTCGAAGACCATCTCTGGCGTCCGTCGTGAAATCAATTCGACGACGAAACTGACGCATCTTCTTCGTCTCTTTGATTCCTCCGTTTTCCGTTTCGTCTGCTTCAGGCGAACGTTCGGCGGTTGCGAATCTGCTCGTAATTGAGACGATACAATTGAGGGGTTTCCGTGCAATGATCTGTAATGTATACGTTTAGGGTTTAGTTAGGAGGTAATTTTGGGAAGAAGAGATCGTATGCGTTCATTCCTTCGGTGATATTTGATTTATCTTTTTTTTTTTTTATTGTTATTATTTTCAATTGTTTCTGACAGTTTAATCTACATTTTTTTTTACATTTAATTTGATTGTTGTTTCTATTTTGTTTTCGCCTTGCAGTCCTCAAACTAGCTTTGTTTTGCTTCTTATAGAGAGGAATTTTTATTACCTCCGGTGTCATGACGTAGCTCTACGTTCAGACATCAATAACATGTCACCACGTGCTCCCACTCTTTACCGCGCGGCCTGACGACCTGACCTGGACCGGAACCCGGTATTGCTATGTTCGTGTATTGCTAGGTATTGCTTAGTATTGCTTGACAATAACGAGAAAAAACCGCTCTAGCAAGACCAATACCTAGCAATACCGAGCAATACCTAGCAAAACTGGGTTATTGCTCGGTATTGCTCGATATTGCTAGATATTGGTTTTGATAGAATGGTATTTCTCGTTACCGAGCAATATCGGGCAATACCGAGCAATATCTCGGTCTGCACAAATCAGCCAATACATAGCAATACCGGGTCCGTTTCCGGGTAGGGTCGTCGGGCCGCGTGGTAAAGAGTAAGAGCACGTGGCACCATTTTACTGACGTCCGAACGTAGAGCTACGTCAGGACACCAGACGTAATAAAAATTCTATAGATAAGGGGTCAATATTTTACATGACCCGAAAATCTAACTCGAATGAGATCCAATAATTCAAAATTAGGGTCAGCATGTTCGGCAAATGGATCAGGTTCAAGTTCCAAAATTTGCTCGTTCGAAAATTTGGTCAGATCCGGGTCAACCCGCTAACTCGAAGTTAACTCAGATTGACCTGATTCTTTGGGTCGAGTCAACTAGTATTCGGTCAATCCTAGATTGGATCCGAACCTAACCCATGATCCAATTTTGACTGCCCTACTTGTGCAATTTATGAGCTATTAATAAGGGAAGGAATGCCTAGATCCCTTTGTAGGGCTGGTAATTTTTACTAAGTTTTAGAATTGAGCAATTGGATGTTGAGGAGTTTTCTATTTGTAAGGCAAAGTATAAATCTCAAGGTGTTTGGAGACCTAAGCCTCACAGTAAAAAAATTGTGTAAAATTAGAATGAAGGTAAAAATTGCGTGAAATTTGATGTTTAAATTTAATATGATACTTTTTTTATCAATAATTGAATCATATTTATCACTTATTAAGATAATATGTATAATTATTAAATAAATCTATTTTAAATAAACTATTTTAGAATATTTTTCTGAATTTATAAAATTTTAACAACGTGCACCCTACTAAAAGTATTCTTATATATTAAACTAACTTTAAAATGAGCATGATAAATAAAATTTAATTAAAATTTTTAATTTTTTATAATACCTATCTATATATAAAAAAAAAATCTCAACAATTTTCAAATCCATTGCATTACCAAAGGAAAATTTTTTAAGTATCTTCACAATTTTTTTATTATTATATAGATAATATGTATTATATAAATTTCAATTAAATTATATGTATTATGCTCATCTTAAAGTAATTAAGTTTAATATATGAGCTGAGCTGGCACTCACCAGCGACTTATTACAGAAATAGCTGGCTGAGCTGGCACTCACTGTGCTGAGTCAGCACAATTCGCCCATTAAATGACACGTTTTTTTTTTCTTTTTTTCGGCTTTGGAAGTTAGTTAATTACTTAATTGATTATTAATTTGTTGCTGCAGATATACAGTGCATCGATAATGTTGATATTGATGGTTGGCTTTGTTCTTTGTTATAGTTCTCTGCACTTTCCTCCTCTATAAGGACTTGAAAGGCCTCAAAGTTTTTGGTTGGATCTATTGGAGCAGTAAGAAAGTCGTCCCAAACGAAACCTTACTAATTTTTTTCGCTGCACCACTAAGCATAATTGCAAGAATATAAAAAAATCATATACTTGACCCTCACAATTCTGATGAATTATTCTGTATGGATATCGGACGGAATGAATCGTTCGGTTTGTCTCTCAAAACTGCACTTTTACTGTTCATGCTACACTTACTGTTCACAGAGACAAAACTAGACGGTTCTCACAAGAACAAATCGTGCTCTCATAATACCAAATAAACTATAACTAAAGATAGAAAACAGCTGATGAAGTGAGAAAAGACTAAAAAAAAAAAACAAATATATTGAAGGGATGTTTACAACACAACAAGAGACATCTTCATCCTAGTGAAAAATCAACTCACCACAACCCAAACAACCCAAATAGAGTAAGAAATGGAGACATATAAGAGCTGGTAGATCAAATGGGGACATGGCAACTCATTTTTGTAGTTCATCATGTACTAAGAAAACACCTACAAAAGAAACCCAAGCTCCTATATATAATAAGAATGATAATAACAAGCATTTCTCCCACTACGTGTGGTCAGCAACATGAATATTTTTTCTACATTAATTCTAATTACGAGTCAAAATTTTATTTAATCTAATAAAAAAAATCATTTCTAATAATTTTTAACTGAAAATGTTTAGGTTCACATATGCCTTTCTTGACATAAACTGAATCTAATACATCAACTCTCATAACAGAGTCATTAGAAGGCCGATATTTTATGTGACAAAACCATCTAAGGCAATTCTCTCTAATCTTATCTGCCACGGGAGCTACTCCAACATTTTCATGCATGTACTAGTTTTGCATTTTTTCTCTCATTGTACAATCACTCATCCACTTGTGTATCCTCATCTCTGTAACTTAAATTTATGCTTCTCTTTTAATTGCCAACATTTTGCGCTATAAAATATTGCAAGTCTTATCACCATCTTATAAAATTTTCCCCCAAGTTTGAGGGAAACTTTTCTATAGCATAGCATGCCAAATGCATCCGTTCACTTTAACCATCCAACTTGAATACCACTAATAATATCCCCATCTATTTCACTGTCATTTTGAATAATATACTCCATATATATATATATATAATATATATATATATAACGTATACTTTTTTTAATGACTTGATCATCCAATGTTACAACTTACAATCCCACGACTAGATTTATTACTACCAAAATTATTCCCCATATATCCGATTTTAAATCAACTCAAACGAAAATCTTTTGACTCTAAAGTTGACCTCCATAATTCAAATTTCTCATCAATAAGAAGAATATCATCAACAAAAAATATACAATAATAACATCCTCTTGCAAATGTCTAGAGAGAACATCCACGACTAAAGCAAAAAAGATATGGGTTTAAAGCTAATTCTTGATGCAAATCAATTGACAAAAAATATGAACATAAAGATAAAAGGACTAAAATTAACAAAAAAAGAAATAAGAAACATATACCAACACTATTACACCATTAATGGATTGCATAAAGTCGCAAAACACAATTGTATCTTGGCAATCTAAATTCATAAAACATAACAATAAGAACATAATAAAAACATTAATTTATGCCCAATCGCATCTTCATGCTGTCTTCACTTGTAGGCCATCTTATACTACACCGTTTATATAATAAAAAGTAGACACACTAATATGATGCATCATACATGCTCGAGAATAATGAAGGCATAGGGGTCGAGCATTAGAAACATGTGAGAAAATTGTATAAAAAATCTGCACGACATAAGTTTAACATCTAGGGGCTGTTTGGTAGCACCCAGGATTTGATTTAAGTAGGATTTCGTATAACGCTAAATCCAAATTTTGAAAATTCTGAGGGGCCTAAATCTTGAAAACTGTTTGGTAGCATTCATGATAAATCCTATTAAATCAAATATGAACCTTTGGCTATAGAGTAGATTTAACGAACGGACTCTTCCTCGCAAGCCATTGGATTTCGTAAATCCGGCAAAAAACAGGATTTCAAGAATCCGGGATTTAGTGCGAAAATGCGGAATTTTTCGTTGAAGGCGGCTTTCATTTGCCGTGAGATTTGGTTTTGCATTTTAGGTTGTTTAGCTGGATTTCGCTCAAATCCGCCCAAAATCCGGCCTAAATCCTGCTACCAAACAGCCCTCTAAAGTGAAAGGATCTATGGAGTCGCATACTTTGCAACTTATTGCTCACAATTAAAAAAAAATTAACATCTAAAAGTTGGGATAAATCTAAGATGATGATGATTGTAACCTTAGTAAAATACAAGTGAAAAATAATCTTTTTCATTTTTTTGGGAACATTTAGGTCCATTAAGACAGATTTACACACACATAGATAGACAAAACTCAAATTCAATATACTTAGTCGGCAGCCTAAGCTCTCAACAGACTAAAGTGAGCTGTGTCATTTTCACTTTTTAAATAAATATTATATAAAAACTAATCGAGAATCACACTGCAAACCTTGGAGATCTCCGCCGGAAGAAATGCTTCATATTCACCTGAACAGCTCCAGAGGCCCGCCGCACCTCTCCCGCGACCTTCGCCAGCTGCTCGATCCCCATCTTTCTCTCCGATGCCACCACGACATCCACCTCCTCCACTGCCGGCAGAGTCATCTCCCTCCAAATTCTCCCAAATTCCTCCAATACATCCGCGACCCCCTCCACCCCCATGTTCTTGGCAACCAACATCCTAACCAGCGCCACCAACCGCCGGTCGAATCCCCCGCTCTCCAGGGCAGCCCGCACCGCCGCCGCCCGCTCTTCATCGACCTTGGAAGAATCGGCGATGATTGAAGCGATGGATGTCGCGAGACGATGGACGTCGTCAGCAATGGCGGCTAGGGATTTTGCTCCGCCGCGCCTGGAGAAATCGATGAGGGCGGCCGCATAGCCGGTGGCAGCGCGGTGGTGAGTCCGTGCGGCGAGGGTGGAGGGAGGCGGAGGTGGAGTTGAGGAGGCGCAGAGGAAGACCAGGGGTTTTGAGGACGAGGAGGAGAGGGAGAAGCGAGGGTTAGGTTTGGAGGAAGAGAGGTTGGAATATGAAGAAGAAAGAGGGGATTTGAGGAGGTGAAGTGTTTCGCGATGGTTAGAGGGAAGGAGGAGGGAGGAGACGGGAGATGCGAGAACGTCCATTGAGAGGATTCTTGGCGTTTAGATGGATCGATAGATAGAGAGGCCATTGTTCTATACCTTCGAAGGAGGGAGCGAGATTCCGTGGCTGTTAAATTTTGATGCTGTTAAATTTTGATGAGGATAGATTTTTCTGGTTTTTTTTTAATTTATTTTGAAATCAATGTAATATCAAAATTAAAAATAAATTATTTATTTGTATATTATATTAATTTAAAATAGCTTACATTTTTTTAATTAATAATAAAATCTTTTTTCTCGGGTGGAAGATAAATTTTGAATAAGTGTGAAACCGAGTTGGGAAATAGCTCCTTGGCTTAAGAGATTATTTTATGTGGAATCTGAAAACATTCGTCAGAAATCAATTTGGACGCGCTACTTCATTTAATGCACAATACATTAGAAGACGTATCACAATAAAATTGATTTCTGAACTCATCCGGATACTGCACATAATAATTTTTCCTACGCCTGAGAGAGACTAAGATTTCATTTACGATAACTTTTAATCACTATATTTTTATACTTTCAAAAAAATTTGTACTCGAAAACCATTTTAAAAAATAGTAATAAAGCTTGCTCAAATGAAATCTAAAAATTTGTTTGGTGCATTTGTTATTGATGTAATGTTAATCAAATCCATTCATTTTGAAATTTGCTTGTTTTAGTGCATTTCATATGCAACTTAATTCATTGGTTAATTCCACCCTAATTCATTTTCGTGCATTAAAAAATAAGCCTTAATCGCTTCTTGCCACCACCGCTTGCTGTTGTCGCTATCGTCAACCACCACTAACACTATATAGCAGGTTAATGCAACTACCTGCCATCATCGGCCACTATAAGCTACCACTGTAGGTCACCACCGATGGCAACACCATTTTCCGAAGGCGACTTTTGATATCCAAGCTATCTAAGATGACTCTCTAATCTTATTTGTCACTGGAGCTACTCCAACATTTTCAACTATAATTTTCTTTCAATAAAGCATTTAAAACAAATAATAGCCTTGAGAGAAAAACTGGTGGAGCTCAAAAAAAAAAAGTTCTTGAAAGATAACTGAAACTCTACAGTAAAACACAATTTAATTTGGAACAAAATAGCTAATTGGAATTTTACAAAACTGCCAATACATCTAATAAATAGTTCAGATAAAACATGGAAGCTTCTAAGAAGGGAGAACCTGAACCATAAAGCCACCAAAACTTTCATAATTTCAATGCCCCATTCCTGCAAAATGCAGAGAGTAAGCAGCATCTAAACCAAAACTAAAGTTTCGTTTGCGACAACTTTTTTACTGCTTCTTGAAACAACTTTTTAGCACAAAAGTTAAAATTTTTATACTAAAAAAACTGCTTTACGAAGTAACAAAAAAGTCATCCCAAACGAAGCCTAAGAGCCTGTAATTCCTGTGAGTAAAATATCAACAATGTTTAGGTTCGATAAAACGACAGAGCTAAGGATTGAGAGCTTCAGAGTGGCGGTTCATTATATGAGACATTAGCTCTGAGATTTCGGAGATAGCATTCTGGACCTGATCATTTTCTGGATCTGTTGGACGGACCCATGGAGGAGCTTGATAGGTAGGTTGATATCCGGCAGGTGATTTTCTTGATTTTCTGAAGGATGATAGAACTTTCTCTAAGTCCGACTGCTTCAATGGTCTTGGACCCTGTATAAAAGCTGAAGTAATAAGGCATGGAAAATAATAAAGATTGAATTTTGTTCAATGGGATTGGTTCTGTCAACAGCTAGAACAGTGGAAATCTCTACCAATGCACCATATAAGTATATAATAGTTTCTATTAAAATAGTTGGGAATTATGAAATGTGCAACAGCAGCCCGCACCGCCGCCGCCCGCTCTTCATCGACCTTGGAAGAATCGGCGATGATTGAAGCGATGGATGTCGCGAGACGATGGACGTCGTCAGCAATGGCGGCTAGGGATTTTGCTCCGCCGCGCCTGGAGAAATCGATGAGGGCGGCCGCATAGCCGGTGGCAGCGCGGTGGTGAGTCCGTGCGGCGAGGGTGGATGGAGGCGGAGGTGGAGTTGAGGAGGCGCAGAGGAAGAGCAGGGGTTTTGAGGAGGAGGAGGAGAGGGAGAAGCGAGGGTTAGGTTTGGAGGAAGAGAGGTTGGAATATGAAGAAGAAAGAGGGGATTTGAGGAGGTGAAGTGTTTCGCGATGGTTAGAGGGAAGAAGGAGGGAGGAGATGGGAGATGCGAGAACGTCCATTGCGAGGATTCTTGGCGTTTAGAGGGATGGATAGATAGAGAGGCCATTGTTCTATAGCTTCGGAGGGAGCGAGATTCCGTGGCTGTTAAATTTTGATGAGGATAGATTTTTCTATTTTTTTTTTTAATTTATTTATTTTGAAATCAATGTAATATAAAAATTAAAAATAAATTATTTGTTTATATATTAATCTAAAATAGCTTACATTTTTTAATAAATAATAAAATCTTTTTTTCTTGTGAAAGATAAATTTTGAATAAATGCGAACACGAGTTGGGCAATAGCTCCATGGCTTTAATGATTATTTTGTGCAGAGTCCGAACACATCTGAAGGTCAATTCAGGCACGTTACTTCATTTAGTGCACTGTACATTAGACATGGCACAATCAGATTGGCCTTCAGACTCATCCGAACACCGCACATAATAACTTTTCCTACGCCTGAGAGAGACTAAGATTTCATTTGCAATAACTTTTAATCAATATATTTTTATACTTTCAAAAAAATTTGTACTCGAAAACTATTTTAAAAAACAGTAAGAAATCTAAAAATCTGTTTGGTGTATGTGTTATTGATGTAATGTTAATCAAATCCATTCATTTTGAAATTTGCTTGTATTAGTGCATTTCATATGCAACTTAATTCAGTGGTTAATTCCACTCTAATTCATTTTTTTCTGCATTTAAAAATAAGCCTTAACCAATTGTTGCCATCGATTGCCACTATCGCTATCGTCAACCACCACTAACACTATACAGCAGGTTAATGCTGTTACCTGCCATCGTCGACCACTATAAGCTACCACTGTAGGTCACCACCGATGGCAACACCATTTTCAGAAGAAGGCCGACGTTTTATGTCCAAACTATCTAAGACGACTCTCTAATCCTATCTGTGATTGGAGCTACTCCAACCTTTTCACGTATAATTTTCTTTCAGTAAAGCATTTCAAACAAATAATAGCCTTGGGAGAAAAACTGGTAGAGCTCCAAAAAAAAGTTCTTGAAAGATAACTGAAACTCTACAGTAAAACACAATTTAATTTGGAACAAAATAGCTAATAGGAATTTTACAAAACTGCCAATACATCTAATAAATAGTTCAGATAAAACATGGGAGCTTTTAAGAAGGGAGAACCTGAAACCATAAAGCCACCAAAACTTTCATAATTTCAATGCCCCATTCCTGCAAAATGCAGAGAGTAAGCAGCATCGAAACCAAAACTAAAGTTTCGTTTGCGACAACTTTTTTACTGCTTCTTGAAACAACTTTTTAGTACAATAGTTAAAATTTTTATACTAAAAAACTGCTTTACGATGTAACAAAAAAGTCATCCCAAACGAAGCCTAAGAGCCTGTAATTCCTGTGAGTAAAATATCAACAATGTTTAGGTTCGATAAAACGACAGAGCTAAGGATTGAGAGCTTCAGAGTGGCGGTTCATTATATGAGACATTAGCTCTGAGATTTCCGAAATAGCATTCTGGACCTGATCGTTTTCTGGATCTGTTGGACGGACCCATGGAGGAGCTTGATAGGTAGGTTGATATCCGGCAGGTGATTTTCGTGATTTTCTGAAGGATGATAGAGCTTTCTCTAAGTCTGACTGCTTCAACGGTCTTGGACCCTGTATAAAAGCAGAAATATAAGGCATGGAAACTGATAAAGAGTGAACTTTTTTCAATGGGATTGGTTCTGTCAACAGCTAGAACAGTGGAAATCTCTAACAATGCACCATATAAGTATATAATGGTTTCTATTAAAATAGTTGGGAATTATGAAATGTGCAACACCCCTCCCGTTGCGGTGGACCTTGCCTCCCTCACCACATCATTCTGAAGTTCAGGATAAATTATTCTATGCGGATACGGAGGCTGTTTGGAGGCGAATCAAAATACGCCACATCAATATCTTGTTATGTACCGGGTGATGTGACGCATTCTGATTCGCCTCAGGACAGTCCGATGACCGCACAAAATAATTTATCGAAGTTTAGAGGCACCACTCGGTAGCCAACCATGCATCAACCGCCATGATTCTTTTTCTCCCAAAAAAAATGAGAAATTTTCCCATGGATGGCACCAAAAATATGAACAGCATAAGCTCATCTACTCCAGAAGACAATAGGAAGAATACATAATTCACGGTTTAAACAGTACTGAAACTGCAAAACTAATATTCTTTTCCCTTGCAACGTGAAGAGGTGAAGATAAATTAGAGAAAATACACACAAAAAGTACACTATTTTATAGTAGTTCACTTGTACAACCTACATCGACTTCAGTGTTGGCTGAAGAGTTCTAGAGGAAAGGGATTCCCACAAGGTCTAGTTCACGAGAAATTATTCTGTGCGGACGCCAAACGTCGTACGGAGACCCATCAAAATAAGCCACGTAGGTACCGCGGATCGGTACCGCTCGTTGTACCGCGGCTCAGTACTGCTCGATATTGTTGATGTGGCTCATTCTGGTTGGTCTCCAGATGTAGAGTTGCGATCAGCATCCGCACAAAATAATTTCTCCTAGTTCGCACACCCATTTGCATGAGCTCCCTTTTTTCTCTCACACATATCCAAAGGAAAGAATGATGATGTGATTTATGATTGAAACCGGAAATTTTACCTATAAGTTCATGTCCATAACAATATAGGAAAAAACAATATTAAATGTGTAAATAAATATAAAGTCATCATTATTATGATATCCCAAGTCCCAACTAATTTGATCAGCTTTAACAAAAATGAAATAAGAACCAAACAATCCTGTAATACAGATCTCTTCAAATGGAAATAATTAAGAAGTAATCCACATCTAAAGAAATGGAAGGTAATCATTCTTACGTTGGGGTATTCTCCACTCTTCTCAGCTTGCAAAAACTCTCTAACTGGAATATAGGCCGCTTTTTTACAAAGCTCAAAAATATCTGACCCTGTAAATCCTTCACAGTGGTACGCTATATAATCGTATTCAATGTTTTCTTCAATATTTTCACCCTTCAAAATCACCTTCAGAATCTTGGATCTCTCACTTTGATCTGGCATGCCAATTTCAAAGGCCTGGGGAAATCGCCTTAGTATTGCCTCATCAAGCTCATTTGGCCTGTTTGTGGCTGCTAGAACCATCACACGTGCATTCTCTGTTACAGAGACATCAAGATTAATTCTTATGTTCAAAAGGTTCCATAATAATATAGAAGATTATCAAAATGAAAATGGATATAATTTTTGGGCATATAAGAATCGAAATGAGCATCTTATACTAACTTAAAATCCATAAATTCATCACACATCCCTAAATTAAAAGCACTTTACCCCTTAGATTAATGATGCAAGATTTTGAATTGTAATCTTATTATCAATAATCATTTATATCTTTGCATCATTTTTGTTGTAATTACCGGAATTCAATGCAGTACTTCTATGGCGCCGAATCATTAAAAAGGAAAAAAAATTCATGGATGTGGAGTAAAAAACTTAATTGAAATGCTTATCGACTTATTTTTGGCAAGTCAAGTTACAGTCTTTCTACTCTATAATAACTTCAAGAACATATTTCTCCATAGTGTACTTTGCAAATCATATCATTGTGGCCTTTGAAAATTTGTGTCTAATTATTCTTGGAGAGTTTGATTATGAGAAATTTTTTTAGAAGAAAATTAAATTATAGTAAGACACTGCCTAGGGATTTCACCCACATTTTTATGAGGACCTTATAATTTGGTTTAAGGTTTTCTATAGGCAGCAACCCCTATGATCAACTATCCCTCCCAATGATGAAAGAGAAATTTCAATTAAGACCAGTCATTCGATATTAAGTTCTTAGTATATAATAGTAGTACATAATAGCTTTATGCTTGAGGAAATTTATTACCATTAACTCAAAGTGGGTGATAAGGGAAATGATGAACCCAATTGATAAGCTTGACTTGTGAGCTCGTTAATGAGTCGAGCTCAAGATGGCTTGGTTCACTTACACCCCATCAAGATTCATATTGCAATCGCAAATCTTCTCACTCGTAATTGACACTTGCAGACAATCACATCCCTACCCGCTCACAAACCTCACCCCTCCCTGCTACACTTATTGCCGCTCACAAACTCACTACACATTTACTACTTGCAAAATTGTAACCCCATCTCTCTTTATCACTTGACACTCACAATTTAGACCTAAAAATTTAAACCACGATGTAAATTATATTAGGTATATCATATAACAAAAGATTTTTTTATTAGGTATTAATTTGAGGTGTCGCCTCAAAAGAGGCATGAAGTCTCAACTGATGCAAGCCTAGAAAGAAATAATGATAATAACTCAAGCCCCACTCATACCCCAAAGGTACAAGCCTCGAGGCATTTTTTGAATGCTTAATGGTGAGGCATGCGCCTCGAACACCTTTTTAAACCAAGATATGAAATCATCATTAAAAGTATTATATAAAGATTTAAAAAACATCACCAATATCACAAATATAAGCTTATATAAATTTGCACTCCCAGAAGTAATGATAAATAGAGATAGATGAAATGACAGAATGGAAAAGCAATGCTTTAGTACTCACGGTCTGTGGTGAAACCATCCCACAAAGACATAAATTCAGTTTTCATGTTAGTCATAGCTTCATGATCTGTATTTCGACGTTGTCCCAAGAAGCTGTCTACTTCATCAATGAAAATAATGGCAGGCTGGAGCTTATAGGCTAGAGAGAATACTGCAGCCACTGCAACAATTCCAGAGAAGGCATTTGAGCACGAAATATTGTAACAGATATCAATATCATAAGACAAATAGAACCGCATGAATGCATGATTTAACAAAAGCATAAAAAATGGTATCCCTATCCTTAACAAAGCAGTTGATATAAGATCAATAGAAAAATCAAGCATATTAAGTAAACTGCCTTCAGATTACTATAGTATAACTTCTCTATATTTGATGACTAGTAGGAGAAACATATCCAGCTTGTAACAACAAAATCAAACATATTCAGTATAGTTTCCTTGCAAAGCACCTCCAGGATTAATTTCCAAACAAATAAAAGAAAGGCAATGTTCTGATCATTAGTTGAGAGAAATCCAGTTTATAGAAGTCTAGAAAACATTTAAAAAAACAGGTCATCTGCAAAGCACTGTAAGGTCAATGTCACATTCTGTGGGTTGGTAGGGATTTGCTATTCCCAAACGCTTGCTCTCGCATACTTAATCATACACCTTGAAAGTTTTGATGTGTTATATGCATAATCCCCTTCTAAAACCCTAATTTATGCAAAGACCCTCCATCAACCTTCAATTTGACAATCTCTACAGAATCCAGTGTTATCAGCAGTATTCACACCTAAATAGTGGGATCCAACACATATATATGAGGGCCTTTTGTGTTTATGGTTGGAAATATGATTTGGGAATGATTGCCGCAAGGTCTAATGTGCGATTACCCTGCCAATCATGGGGCTAAAGGTATAATTATCTTTAATTTTGTGTATAGAACTATAGATTTTGTTTCTTTGAACCTTAATGACTCTGATACTTATTTGCAAATGATTGGGCCCATGAATTAATGTGTAGCATGTGAATTTACTTAAACATTTATCATGATGTGGACCTTCTCAACTCTACCCTCACGTGTAGAGGATCAAGTCTATAGATTTATGTGTATGGATTTTAAAATCAATTGAACATTTATCATATTGTACATCTTCTGAATTGTACCTCCAATAGAAAGAGGATTGGAAGAAAATGTTATGAGATTTTAGGGTGGCATCGAGAGTTCTCTTTTAAATTAATTTTTCCATAAGGGAGTAACCTTGAAATTCAAATGCAAATGTAAATCAAATTAGCATAGAGATATTTAAGATCAAGTATTTTGATTATAAGCTTGTAATGAAGCGAAGTTTTACAGGATGGAGGTGAGAATTATGAATATTCTTTTGTCACATTAATAGTTATTGGGGATGAGAACCTATCAACTTCGTTCTTTGAAACATGGAAGAATAAACCTAAAATTTGAAACTCTCAACTATTGGAGTAGCCCAACTCAATTTCTTTTAAAAATTTAATAATTTTGAAAAATATTGGGATATAAGCCCTGTCAAAACATGGAACATTGAATCCAAGGATTTGGGACTTATGGCCCTAAACTAGAAGCACAGTAGCCCTCTCCAGCCTTCTTTTAAAAATTTTGTGAGTTATTGAGACGTAGTCCCTATTATCTCTGCTCCAAATTAAGGGAGGATCATATCTAAGAACAGGTCACACAGCCCAATAGGAAAAGTACCCATTTGAGTTTTCTTTTAAAATTTTTATAATTCCACAAGTTATCAACATGAAGATTTTGTCAACTCCACTCTAGACATATGGAGGATCGCAACAATAAATTGGTTTATTGGGGCTTACTATCTTCCTCTATAAGCAAGAAGCAGAAAGTTTTCTTTCCTTTTTTTTTTATAATTTGAACCACCAACAAGACACAAGTATCGTCAACTATATCTTTGTTTCGCGTATGATTGGGCTTGAATGATCCCTAATTTCACAAAGATTGCGTCAAATTTCATCATTTGAAGAGTTTTAACAAGTATTTATATCTTTTAGACATAAATGATGATCATGCACTTCAATAGGAGTGAAAAAATTCGAGGATGCACAAAATTATTTATGTGGAATTTCCATTGATATGTCTTCTAATTACTATTTTCTTTACTTTTTCATTCTTCTCTATTTCGTCTATTATTTTTCTTCTAATTTTCTCTTTTTTATTCAAAAATATATTAGAATGTCAATAGTATTACTCATTTTCTCACATCACTCAAGCAAGTGCTTAGCATGATGATGAGTTAGTGCTAGAGAGTAAATTGGCAAGCTTTTTCAAATTATCGACACACTTCACATAGCAATTTAATTCAATTTGTATTTGTTTTTTAAACAATTTAATTCAATTTGTATTTGTTTTTTGAGGATTAGGTTTGGAGCTTTGAAGTTGTACAAATCTTAATTTTGACATTGCAATATTTGTTGAACACACATGAGAGTTTACCTTTTAGCAAGTTGTCGTGCATTTAGAGTATGTGAATGCTTTTCAATAAGTTTGTGCAACTTTCAATGTGCATCAACTTGAGTTGAATTTTGTCAGGTGACGATCATAAATCATTTAAAATTGTTCAAGTTCTATTATTCCTGGCATTATAGGGGGATGTGCCATAATTGTAATATGCGTATTATTTTTTAACATGATAATTTGACTGCATTTTGTCCACTTATGAGACTTTTTAGAGCATATTTGCAAGTTTATTTTGCTTGTATAAGCAGGTGTGGCTGCATGAGTTGCAACTTAAAGTTTTATCACGCATTTAATATATATATTTAATTCACATTGATGTCCAAGTAGATCCCATAAGGTATAATTTGTTCCTATAAATAAAGATTCTTGCATGTTATTTTCATATTTAGCTCTTGAGTTCACAATATTTAGAGATGTCAATAAGAGATTATGTTTATAACTTTGTGCTCATTGGTGAGCTACCAGGTTCATTGTGAGCCCAGTTCATGTTCATGTTCAATTTTATCTTTTTAAATGACATATCACATATTTTGAGCATATCTTTTGTCGTATTTTGTAAATTTTCCCCTTATTCACTCTAGTTTTGTCATGTTTTTGTCCTGAAAATCTCTTTTGATTTATCATTTAAACAAATTTCAAGAAAATTTTGATAGACGCATTAGGCTTTGTTGCCATGGCTAAAGTTGTATGCATGGGTAGGGTACAAGAGACCATAGCTTACCCGCCATGTCAATAATAATGTACATGAGTACCCTCTATCATGCCAAAACAGACGGACATAAGCTTTGCTTTGCACTTTCAATCTTTATTATGAGGGAAGTTTACACAAAATGCAAGTGACTGTGAGAACCCTACTTCAGTTGAGCTATAGGAATCATAAAATTGCATGATTCTATAAAGGCCATATGCTGATGTTATATACAGCTAATGTTGTGTGCTACTGATGTTTCATTAATCAAATAATTTTCACTCCAAACTATAGTAGCTCAAGGAGCTCTTCCATGGTCGGGGTATTTTAATTGCAAGGATAACAAACTCCCCTCCAGCAAAGTGTCCTAATATTTATATGAGGGCTCTGTATTCCTATTTGCTTCTAAAAATAGTTAGTACTAAAAAGAGGAACATCGGAAAAAAGGGATTTGTGATTGCTTTCAAAATGTTTGATCAACTTAAATCATTGATGGTCCATACTAATATTTGATAAGAAAAACTTACAATTAAGATGATAATAGATCATAAGGTTTCATGTAAATTATTGCATGACATCAAACTTGCAAGGATCGTTACACATTAAGTATCTGCATCCATGTAGCTTGAGCATGTACAAATAGATATGAAAATGTAAAATGTAAAATAGCATATGAAATATACAATAAATTGACAATCGAAATTCAGCAAAATACTTGTAAAATAACATAAGCATGTTGGTTAATAATGAATAGCATGTCACCACTCGCAAAATGCCAGAGTCCTCGTGCTTACCAAGTTTTTGAGCATCACCAAACCATTTGCTCATTAAATTGGATACCCTCACATTAATGAAAACAGCTCCAGATTCCTTGGCGAGAGCTTTAGCAAGCATTGTCTTCCCAGTGCCTGGAGGTCCATACAACAAGACGCCCTTTTGCGGGCTAAGAAGCTTCCCATGTGCAAACAATTCAGGTCGCCGCAAAGGAAGAATAACCAACTCAAACAATGATGTCTTGATGTTGTCCAACCCTCCAATCGAATCAAACTCAACATCAATATGATCAGGATTTATAACATCACAGGCTATAACATCCTGCAACATAAGGCACATGAAAAATGCTAAATTGAAGAAATTTCATGATTATAATTTAATCTCAAAAAGACATAAATGATATAGTAAGGGTGCCTACAAAACTACATAAGAAAAGAACTCATGATTGCATTGACCAGATAATATTTCATCGGTACAAATTTCTTAGAACAATATCACAAGGCAAGATAAAAAGCATTGGCCAAAGTAATCTCATGAATGTAAGAGGCACAATGTATCAGGAGAAACATCAGGCTCAAATGTTCTCTGATTCCTGAAAGACAATAAAAAAACACACAATGAAAATATCATTTAAAGATATGAACTTCAGTAACTTCAATAAATAACTATCCAATATTATTATAAGCCAGATTAATTCCTCGTAATTAAAACTATAACCGTGTTTACTATAATAAATTTTAAAATAGAGTGTAGGAAGGAGATTCACCTAATCTACGCAGACCTCTAAAATTCTAAAGAAAAGAGAAGGATAGATGACTTGAAAGCATAATGAAAGGAAAACTATATCACTCATAACTATTAGCCATGTTCACGAACGAGACTTCAAAAAATAGGCAGCAAAGGTTAAAAAAAAAAATTTATAGCCAAACAAAGATTTTTACTAATCTGCGAGCAATTACAGTCCCTTACAACCAACTTTATGCAAATCAATAATGAGTAAGAACCCTATCGTTTTAGACGAAATTATTAAAAAAAAAAAAGAGAGTAAGAACCCTCGCGTATTTGGAAACTAAAGCTCGTCAGGGGATTGCCCTAGCGAATCATCCACGTGCAAGGTAATTATAAAAGCAAAGAAACCCTAATCGGTACAAATCGATCCAAATATAGCTAGTAAGCAACAAATTGCAAAACAAAGCAATATGTTTGAGCGGAACCTCATATTGGTTAGTCTGGATAAGGGGGCGGCCAAGCCGCTTGGCTATCTCCTTCTTCTGCTCAAGGGCCTTCTTGGAGGCGGCGCGGTTGGGATCCAGTTGGCGCAGCCCAGCGAACAGGACAAGACAGCTCAGTGCCGCGCTAGCCGCGTATAGCACCAGCTCTTGTATTAATCCCTGCGAATTTCTCATCTCCCCGCAGAGGAAATATATGCAGAGAGAGAGAGGGAACAGTTTCTTAATGCTGATCAGTGGAAATATATCCTTGCGGATCACGGCACTCGAAGAAGATGAAGGGATGATATCGAAAATTACTTATTTGTTTGGGCTAAAAAAGGAATAATTATTCTTTAAAATTTGACTAATGTTCCTTATAGTCTGTGTAATTAGCCGGTTGTGAAAATCGAACCCAACAACAAATTAAAAATAGAGGAGGTTTTGATATAAAAATTAATAAAATTAATATAATATAATATAAATATATTAACATTTAATAATATTTATGAAATTAAAATATATATATAATATAAATTTTTCAATATAAATAATATTTAAGAATAATATATTTATATATTTATAAAAATAATATTTAATAAAATATATAAATTTATAATATTAAAATTTTATATTATAAATTCTTATAATATATTATAACAAATTTATAATACACATTTAAAAATTTGCAGCTCAACCAGCCCAAATTCATAGCCCAATAAAATCAAAATTCACATTCTAATTCATATAGTATTCATTTAATTTTTTTAGTCCAACATCATAGGAGTTTGAAGTAGTTCAAATTACTAGATGCGCCAAGAAGGGGTGAATTGGATGATTAAAAACTTCTTTAATGAAAAGAAATATTTTTTTAATACTTTATGCAGAAGCAAATTTCATTCATAATAAAAAGATAGATAATCAATTTCACCCATGCA